CCCCCCCTTTCGGACCAAAATCACAAAAACCATGATAAGAAAAGACGTTTAACGAAGAGAGTGTTGATAACGAGTAGGTAAAATCGTAGCAGCGTCTAAATGGCTCATTCAAGAAAAAGATATGAGTGAGCAGGAAGTCAAGGAAGCTCATATCCCTGTGGATTGGCATGAAGACCCCGATGTGAATGCGTGGGCGGGGTATTTGGTCAATTGGATTAATGATCGGTTGTTAGAAGAATCTAAAGGCGTTGCCTGCATCGGTAACTATTCCCCTATCCCTCTTCCTTCTTTTTGCCACATATAGAAATTGTGTTGAGAAGTGATTTGTGTAGTGCTTGATCTCATATCCACACACGCCTCATACCAAAAACGCGGTCTAGGTAAACAGATGATGGATTATGGCACCGGGATTGCGGATGCGATGGACGTGCCTTCTTTTATTGATGGGACGGCGTTGGCGGGACGGTTGTATGGGGGTGAGTTCCTCTTTTCTTATCAGTCTAGCTTGGTTGTTGGAGGGGGAAGTGCTGATGATATTGGATAGGTGCGGGATTTAAGGGCACGAAACTAGTAGTCCCCGTCCCTGAAAAATGGAGGGAGAGGGAGAGGATTGAGTATTTTTGTTATGCGAGGCCGAGGGGTGGGAGGTGAGGAGAGGAAATGAAGTGGTTTTGCGATGAAATGGAGAGGGGGTATGAGTGGGCCGAGTTTGAGAAGTAAGGGAGGATGTATTACGGTACTTGTTCGTCTTTTCTTCGAGGATGTTGATGAAAATCGAGAAGAAGGAACACTCCGGTTTTTCTTGATAGTGAGCTGTATGAAGAATCCCACAAATCAGGAACAAAATTGACATGCATCTTTCTGTCAGTCAGCTACGCCTATTTGTTAGCTTCTCGAAGGGATACTCGGAACTTTAGTTGGCTACTAATTTCTAGATTTTATCACTCAGAACTTCATCGGCTGAAAATATGTAGACTTTACTTCTCATATTTAATTTTGGTTCATGAGATTTGAGAAGTTGAAAGCTGGTCTTCTGTTTTCTTTTTCCAAACAAGGTACACTTCCTCTTGATGGATGTGTCCGTAACTTTGAAGTTGCGGTACAGTGCTGGTGAGTATCTACAACACAATAAAGTCTGAACTAGCTTGCCAGTAAAGCTAGTGAGATTTCACGTTAGTTTACAAACCTATTAATCGCCTTTCACCATTTACTTTCCTTCATAAACACATCTCCCCAAATTGCCCTTAACAGCTCAACGTTCAACCCCCAAGCAACAAAGCACCCAGAATCTCGATATTGCTTAATCTGCCGGCCAAACATGTTTCTCTAAATTACATAACTGAGAATGCCATAACGTCTCGGGCGGATTGCTCTTTCCACTCCGAAATAGAAGGTAAGGAATATCCCCTAACAAATTACAAGTCTTCCGCATTTCAACGAGCTTGATCATCATCTGGCGTGAAATTTTTCTGTAATCATGTACTCATATGATGCACTTCTTAAGAGGTTTTTTTCATTTCTTGGATAGAGTGGTGCTGTTATGAATGAGATATGTGTCATTAACAGCTTTATTTAAGGAACAGTTTAGCGTGGATGTTTAACAAAGTGAGGCAAGTTTAGGATGATAGTTTACCTGTTGCGAAGAGGAAGATATAGTTGCAGATCCTGATAGAGACCTCTATTTTTTGGTGTTAAAAGTGTAGCATCACATGTTTCGACGGTTGGATGAAATTTACGATCGTGATTGTCCATATAATATCGTCACACATGGACAACCATCATAGCACTACCGTCACTTCACCTCACTAGCATAGAAAACATTGTCTAGTAGGTAAAAATCTTCTTTTCCTCTCTATCTGCCCTCCTCTATATACAACCCCTCCCAGCGCTCCTAGCAAACGCATCATGGTATCTTCAAAAGCAATACATACATACATTACGAACCCCTCCCCTCCTCCATCTTCGCAACCACACCCCATCAGCAATAGAAATAAGTATCACCCTCCTTGTTCATCCACTCCAGGATCTCATAATTACAAAATCCAATAAGGTAGAAATAATGCCGTGCAATGTCATGCCATGCAATGTTATTCAAATGAGCAACCCCTCCAAAAAGTGGAAGAAGGTTCAAAAAGCAAACTCCAAATCCGTTCAATTGCATCCTTGCAAGAACTGTAAAAGTGTATGATGATGCGTAAACCCCCAAAATGATAAAGGGATAATTGTCCCTAAGTAATATAAAAAGCTGAATGTCAACACGCTCGCTAAATGCTTGAGAAATGCAAATTCATGTTATACCAAACTCAGAAACGAGCTTGGTATTATTGTTCGTTTCGTGTGTCGGATAGATTAATTATTATGAGGTGAGTGAGGCGAAAAATCCAGTGGATGCCTGCGCTCGTTCCTCCTCGATTGCTTGTTGCAATTTGCGGGTTTCGCGTTGAGCTTCTTCGCGCTCGTTTTGAAGCTCCATGACTTCGATCTGGGCCACGTTCATACGGCCAACAACTTCCTCCATCTCATGATCAGCATCGGCGAGGGCACTCTCGAGTTCAATGACACGTTGCTTGAGGAAATCCATTTGGGAGTCTTCTGATACAGACAATCCTTTGCCCGATGATGTAGCCATCAAGTTTGGCATTCTCGCCGAGTTGGCGAACAATGGAGAGAGAGGTGTTTTAGGTCCGAAAAGTCTTGGTGACCGAAGACCATCCTTAACACGTTGTAATTGAACATTGTGGGTATCCTTCAATCCTTTGATCTCATCCTCGTGCTTGGCGATCTTGTCTTCTGACGCCTGCTGCGCAGCCATCAACTGATCCTCGAGACCCTTGAGCTTGCTCTGCATCATCATAATCTTCTGAGCGTTGGTGTTCTGATCCTTCTCACCTCGTTCAATTGTCTCAGCAAGACGCTTCCTCAGAGTGCTATTGACCGAAAGTTGTTGACGAACTTGAACAGCCAACTCTTCTACACGCTGTGCAGAGTTGCGAAGTTCTTCTGAAAGAGCAAGTTGTTCGCCAACATGGCTCTTCTCCTCAACCCGGAGATACACAGATTGCTTTCTCAGCGAATCTGCCTCCATGGAAGCAAAGTCTCGCTCAGATATTGCAGCCGCGAGACTCTGCTGAAGTTGCTTAATGGCCATCTCGGTGTCGGCATCCTGGGGTGCAGAGTTCTCGAGAGCCTGGAGCCTATCCAATGATTCGACATACGCCTTCTGCAGTTCTTTGTACGCACTCTCTAGGCCATCAGACGAGATAGTACCACTGAGCGGCCTTGAACCACTGTTTGGTCTTCCGCTTGGCGTCAGAATATCATTTGCCTGTAACAACTGTCGCAAAGAATTGATTTCCTGCTCTGCCCGATCAAGATCCATTTTCAGCCCACCAAGACCCTTCTCACACTGCCACTTTTGTTCGATAGCTTCATCTGCTCGTCGACGAAGTGTGTTAATCTCTTCCCGTAAATATGAGACTTCTTTATTGTAGCCAGCGCGCCGTGGCGAATCCGAAAGAGCACGATCACGTTCCATCTCTAGTTGACGAATCTTCTTTTGGTTTTCACGGTTCTGATATTCTTGACGTTCGAGAAGGCTTTTCAAAGCCCGATGCAACGAATCGCGTTGAAGCTCAATATCCTTGACACGCTCCGCAAGAGCGTCCCGAGATTCTGTCGCTTTTACAGATGAAGATCTCGTGAGAGAAGATGGTCGTGACCTGGAGACGGCACCATGTGCGACAGAATTGGCCCGACTTAAGCTTGTAGCCCTTGGTTTCGTTGAGATTGGCTCTTCCGCGATACTATCAAACTTCTGTAGCTTCTTTTGCATGTCCATTTGTAGCTTTTGCGCATTGGCGAGGTTCATGTTTTCCGTCCTGAGCGTCTGCATTTCCTGCTCCATCTTTGTTCGCTCATATGTAAGCCTTTCATGTTGAGCTGCTTGCGCTTCGAGGCCTTCGACACGTGCATGTAATTGAGGGATGATTTCGTCGCGGAGATTGTCCCGTTCGTTATGTGAGCTCTGTAATTCGGACTTGAGCGCGGTGAGCAGATCTTCAAAATTGTCCTTGACTTGCCGCTCCTCCGCTAAACGACGACGAAGGTCTTCACAAGTTGTCTCCAATTCCTTTAGACGACCGGTCGTGTCGAGAGAGTTTATCGAAACAAGATCAACCTATCATATGTCAGCATGGGCTAAGTTTTGTGGTTGGGTTACCTGCCTGCGAAGCTCTCTCCTCAAGGGATCGAATATGATTTTCCAACACTTTCCTTCTTGCGCGCTCCTCCTGAACCTTATCTGTGAGTTCGAGTCTGATTTGCGCTTTTTCCACTTGCGTTTTTCTGATAGCGCGATCCAACTCATCTTGTTTGTTATCAGAGTCTCCTCCATATCTTACAGAGCTTGTTCCCGAGTCAGAAAAGTAGTCACTCGTCCGCCTACCAGCAGGTGTCGACGATACTTGTGCTTCTGCTTGGAGTCTTTCCACAAGATCCTCGAGATCCATCTCTCGCCTGATCGAGGAAGCAAGCTCCGAACTTATCTCCTTCAATTCCTTCTCCATCTCTTCGATTTGTATTGGGGTCGTGGGTGTTGCCAACGGTACTTGTAAATGCGAGTTGCCAAAATAACTTCCAGAGTCGGCATTGGCCTTTGGTACGTCGATGGCGGTAGGTATATTTCTCGAATTAGACTTTGAGGCATCGGCAACGTTTTCGGTTTGTTTCGGTGTTGGGGGTAGAGGAGAGAAAGAGTTCTCGGACAAAGGCGTTGTGGGTGATGCACCACCTCCCCAGCCAAAGAAAGAGCCAAGCTTTGACCCGCTTGGGGATTTAGGTTGCGACTTTTGAATGGTTGAATTAGAATCGTTTGAGTCGTTACTGAAGGTTCGCGATATCCCATTAGGTGACGTCAAGTTGTGTGGTGGTGTAGGCTTGGAGGAAAATATGGACATAGTAGATTGCGACTGGCTGGTTATACTCGAGTCACTGTACCATGTACCGTTCGATTCCGAGCCTGAAGTGATCGCTGAGTCGACGGTCAACCTTGCATGTTTCGGAAGCAAAGTGTCCTGGTGGGAGGGTTGACTTGGGATGTTAAGGTTTGGGCTTTGCGGAGGGTAAGTATGCTCCGAGTTGTGAGAGGCAGCTGGGACAGCAGGAGTATTGTTTGCTGTCAAAGCTACTGGATTGTTATGATGTCTGTTTAGGTATGTTAGTCAAGAACCTTTGGGGTAAAACGGTTTCAACACAAGAGGGCAAGATCTACCTTGAGAAGCTGTCTCGAGACTGTGTATGATCCGGCGGGAGGGATGGAAGTGCTTTTGGTGTTGGGGGAAATTCGTGAAGGGTCGGGCTATCGACGGAGTATCCTCGAGCAAACTTGGGTTCCGGCAGCTCTGGTAGCTCTTTGAGAGAACCAGACAGCACCAGGTGGTCGCCGGTAGAGAAGCGCGTAGCCTCGGACGACGCCGTCACAGGCAGTGGTTTTCTTCTTATGGGCGATGATGGCGATGAGGATGCCGACGAGAAGGCGCGTGACCGGAGGGACAATGAAGGGATTCGAGGGTTATTCTTCCTTTGACTCTGACCGTGTTGGTCGGCTGGGCGTGTTGGATTGGTCGAGCTGGAGGTCACAAAAGTATCCGAGGGTTCGAAGAGATCAGATGGATATGGAGCGTAAGAAGTATCAGATTCCAGGAGAGAGGGGTCGACGGTCTCTTGCGGGTGCAAGCTCTGAGTAGCGACGGAAGTCATTGTTACTTGGTCGCCCAGAGAGACGGCGAGACATTGGACGTCGAGAAGAGATGTGCAATCCGCGATAAGGCTGGATACGGGCAAGTTCGATGATTTCGTGATTGAATTCCAGGATGCTCAGGAAATGTCTCTTTCCAAAATGTAACGGGAGCCCACGACCGTCTCCTTTTGCCAGGTCGCGCACCTGTCGAACGGGCGTGGTTGGCGCTTGGCCTAGCTGTGTTGAGCACGGTATGGCCTAGAAGAGCTAGTCCGACCTTGCGCGGTGGAGAAACGGTGGAGAAACGACAGACAGGCTGGATCGCATCCAGGAGAGCAGGGTGGTTTTGCCAGGGGAAATAATGGCTTGTTCGAGGCTCATGTGGTTCGTGATACAGAAAATTACGACGGTGGGCGGGCAGTCGGAGACGTGAAATTGGCGATCAGGGACCAGTTGGTTGTGGAATTGACGAAAGGGACACGAAAGGGAGAAAGACAGGAGAGCAGCAGGGGAATTTTGGGAAGGCGCGCGGTAGGGATGTCGAGGAGTGCAATTGATCATTGGAGAGCGAGCGTGCTCAGCAGGGTTAGGGGACAATAGGGGCCGCTTGACAGGCCAATTTAGTACCAATAGGACGCCGGTTCCTGGCTTGCTGCATCTGCGGACCCTGAGCCTGAGCCTGAAGCCATCGCCGCCATTGTCGCCATTATTGCCATTAATTACAAGTGGGAATGAAGGCCACCGTAGCAGCTGTTCCTGAGTGCAATTGAAGGATCTGTATGGATAGTACGGAATGGGCTCGACGACATCGTGACCACGACACACTAACGCCGAAGGACGACACAAATTACACAACTGGCCGCGCTTTCTCTCTCATCCACACATCCTCATCCTCTCCCGCCCTCTTGCGCCAGGGCTGGCGACGCCGATGACGACAAGCAAAGAACCGGTGGTCAGAGGGTCGCATGATCTCGACCAACGACTGGACGATGTTTGCTTCTTGTAATGTGTCAAACTTCACGAGGGAGGGGTATCCAAACATCACCCAAACTTCCAACGGCGCTTCGATGACGCGAGGTTGGATTAACCGCCAGAAAGAGAGGTTAATTTGGTGTAGCATCACATGGCTCAAGAGTATTCTCATCTTGCGAGATACAATTGGCGTGCCAGATGTAAAGGTAATTTATGACTTTTAAGTTCGATGGTGCGATGTTTATGATACATTTGTTTGCCATGTTCTTCAATGCGATTCGAAGAACACAGCTAATTGGGAATTCGAATCCACTAACCTTACCAGATTTATCTCATGGGTCATTCTCGACTGCTGGTCTCTTTACGATTGTAAACATGATCCAGTCAAAAGCAGTGCTTTCTGATATCTATTCCACCAGAACATCAACCTCATACAACAGTCTCAACCACATCTCCAAACCACACCCAAACTGCAAGACGCAACAGTGTCTTCCATGATTCATAAATAACCACAGCTTCAATACATCCTTCTGAGTTCCATCATCACGAGAAACCATACAATCCAGATTTCCTTCCACTCCCAAACCAGCGAAACTTTCTGGTCCGGCGATCAATCGCGCTCCTTCACAGCCCTACCAGCAAATCCATACCAATGTCTACGGTGGCCGGTACTGTCTCTTCCCACCTCCTACGGCAGCCATTCACAGCTCGACAACACAACCTCACACACCGCTCACACACCCCTGACACCCATGAAGCGAATACCACCGTATCATCGACACTGTAAACGAACATCAATCTACAATTCTTATCAATTTCATCGGCAAAACATTATGCTACTTTATGCCCTTTGCCCTTCTCCAGTATCAAAAGGCAGCTTACATCTCCAGACTCAAACCTTCATCCAACACTACATAACACATCCACTTACCATCTACTCACATGTCAAAAATCACAGCCGCAGGTATTCCAAAATCCCACAGGAACATCAAAGTTCCCTCCCGTCCAACCGCAACCCACGTTCTCCCGTAAAAAGGAGCGAAGCCTTCGGCACCGAAAGTGGTTTAAGCCAGGAACGGGCGGGAATCGGGATGCGGGCGTGATGCATTGGCCATGAGTGTTAAATTGCGATTTCCCGATTTAGACATGGGTGGATTTCTGGATTGGGATGATGGAGATCGGAGATAAGAGGGTAAATGAGTGCCGATGAGTGAGAGGAAAGTATTTCGTGTTCATCGACATGCTCGAGGTGTAAGAACCACTTGAACTGGGTGCGAAGGATACAGGTTTGTACTTGAACTAATACTCTGATGTTATTCGAGTTCAGTAAATATAAGTACGGAGATATTGGTATGTAAGTTCATATTGGCCGCCGACTTTGCTACATTCAAACCTTTTCTCATCCCGTAAATTTACCCCCACCTCACTTATCTACTTCTCGAATGTCTGAATTGGCTACTCACGTCAAGTAATAGTAATGGCGTAGAAGCCTGCAAATTTCACACAAACTTCGAAGACTATTTACTGCATCGATGTAAAGATAAAAGATGCTGATAGGGCAAGTTCTCGTTGTAGGTCAAGATCAAAGTGTCGTTCTGATACACTGTATCTAGGAAGCTGGAGGCTCGCCTTCGCTTGCGAAGGTGAGACCTCGACATCTTTTTCTATTTTCAGGTTCACCTGAGAAGGCAATTTTGGTTTACATACTTTCCAGTTGGTACCACAAACGAACTCGCTTCGAGCTAAATCGAGCTTGACCTGGAGCTAGGTACTATTATAATAACTGTGAAGCGAGATATTATATTGCATCTCCTTTCTAATAGTGCCGACGGCTCTCTTATATTTATCTTCATTACGTTACAACGTATACACGGTGAAGGGGCATTCCCATGCTTTTGCTCAGACTAGTCTTGCTACCAAAACCACTGACAAAAGATATTCATCCAATCTCAAAAAGGTCCGTAGGCTAAGACTTGAAGTACGAAACCGTATTGGAATGGTTTTCTCTAATGATAGGTAGGTGGACTAGACGGCCTACCAAAAAAGAATGACAAAGTTCTACCATTAAAGTCATATGCTGAGACCAGAGGGTTTCTGGTAAGTGTACAATGTTCTTTTTACTAAAATTTATAGGCTTAATAGTAAGATATAAGTGTGCTATCGTACACTCCTAGTATCATGAGAGAGCGAACATTTTGAAGGTTCTAGTTATGATTTTACTCCTGCTGATCAACTATTGCTAACTGCAGAGTTCGCAAGTTCATACAGGTTTGACACTTCAACCCTTTATCCACAACATGTCCTCATCTGCTTACCGTCCCTCTCCGTGGCCTAGAGTTAGCCATAGACTCAAAACTCCATCACAATAATACACAGATCCCCAGATCCAAAACACCATCGCTTTCCTACCTCGATCTCCATACCTACGACTGCGCAAGCGAACCACAGACCGTACCTATTAGTAGAACAAAGCCTAGCGATTACAGCCTACCCAATTATAATATATTCAAACCCCCAATCGTGGGATACCTCTTATATGTTATCCAAACGGTTGGATTACATTTGCACAGAATCTACTGTAGACTAGAGAAATCCAGCCTCCCTCAGAATAGCGGATTTATTACAACACGGAACCGCGAGTCTTCGTCCTAGAGGAATGAGTACTAGGTACTATGTAGCAGGATGCCTTAAATGATATATATTCAATGAGATCTCGTCAAATGATGCTAGTATTTCAATAAATACCGTGGGAGACAAGAGAAACATTCCGCTCATGAGATATCATGGCAAAAACACACGAGACGGCAATCTTCTCAATCTAAACTTCAAATGATCAAGAGAAATCGAAGCTGGGAGCGATACTTCATCTGGCGGGTCTACAACCTTGTGTTCCCTATTCGTTTTGAACGAGATACATGGTGGGTAGCAATAACTTCTTTTTCCACTTCCTAAACCACAACATTATAATGGTATGTTCGATTTAAGGAACTCAAGCCTCTCACGGCTGATGGAATTATACTCACGGCGCGTGAAAAAAAGCCAGACCACAGATGTAAGTCCCGGATATGAGGGGACTGAGTGTATTTGTCCTATGCACTTGAAAATATACTCTACTCAGAAGTAAGGAGGGCAGTAAATTAAATCTCCTCACTCTCTCCTTAATCTATCAGCACAGCAACTCACTTTTAATTCTTACAAAACTTGCCCACGGCTTCTCTATACAAATTAGAATCAGATCACCTGAATAGTAGGATTCAAAGTGAGATATAATCGTTCGAAATCCGTGGCCTCGCCACATCCACACCTAGAGCTTACAACCCACAAATGTCAAGTGCCGTCTGACACCGACCACTTACTTCCCGGTATTTTGACTGCGAATCTGAAATGGACTTTATTTCTTGCTCTTGCCAAAACCCAATTGAACATAAAATATGCCATATGAAGAAACATAATTTAAGATCAATGGCAGACGAGCAAGTGTAAAACCTCGCCCGAAGACTCATCAATGGAAACGAGAAGATAATAGAAAGAGAAAATATCCTTACCTCGCTAGGCAGGCAGTCTGACATGCAAGTCAGACGTGGGTCGGCATCATGCAAGCCAGAAGGAATGGAAGAGGATAGAATCCGCAAGATTGAAAGTCAATCACACATACAGAAAACTGGTTGAAGATCAAATAAGATAGACGAGTATATTGTAAACAATAGCACCGATATCTATCCCCTCTACGACGAAGACCCCATTGCGGTCTCGTCATCCCTATCTCAAGCACTATAAAAAACCAATCAGATATTTCAAGAAGAGCAAATAAAGCACATCTTATACAAAAGATGTCCTCGTGGGGCGCAAAGCTCTTGCCCCGCTTTTATGTAAATTATCTGGAAATCGTTATTTCAAGAGATGTTGAAGTTCTCCCTAACGCCAGATGCTATGATGCTCTTCCCTTTAATTTTGCCGCATAAAACAAGGTTGTGTTGGGCGCAGGTGCTGCCCGCCGTCTTATCTACGGTCTATGTTGAATTCAGACTTTTTGAACGTCCAGTGCCGACCGGTATAATAAACGCGAAAGAGAAATGCTCTATTTCTTGCCGCTCCGAAACCACCGTTTGAAAACACACATTAATCGAATACCAGAACGAAAACTCCATTCCCCGTAGGTCGTTGAGACCATGCCTATTCGTCAATCATTTCGCCGTGAGATGTCCAAAGGAAAATATAAGCATTAGACGTTGAGTCAAATGCAAGTCATGGCTCTATCCACAAATGTAAGTTTAAAATTCAAGGGTCTTTGGCTTCTCCCAGGTGAATTCCTGGCTAGTGAAGTGACCGTTCTTGGCTGTCTTGAAGTAAATTGGTCTGGCAAGATCAAGCTCCTTGACGATGACTCCAGGTCTCATGTCAAAGTTCTTCTTGATGATGTCGACCAACTCATCGGAACTTCTTGTGGATGTACCGTAGGTCTCGACGAAAAGGGAAAGTGGCTCTGCGACACCAATGGCGTATGAGAGTTGGACAAGTGCACGTCGTGCAAGCTTGGCGTGGACCAAAGACTTTGCGATCCAGCGAGCGAGGTAGGCAGCGGAACGATCGACCTTGGAGAAATCTTTTCCGGAGAAAGCACCACCACCGTGAGCTCCCCATCCACCGTATGTGTCGACGATGATCTTACGGCCGGTGAGACCAGCATCACCCTGAGGACCACCAATGATGAACAATCCGGATGGTTGGATCTGAACGCTTGTTAGCATGATACAGCCGAAATAGGCGATAAATACTTACGTGGTAGATGGTCTTGTCATTCAAGTACTTGGCAGGGATGACCTTCTCGATAATCTTCTCCTTGATCTCCTTTCGCAATTGCTCGGTGGTGATGTCCTCGCTGTGCTGGGCGCTGACAACAACGGTGTCTACTCTGACTGGGACAACTGCGCCGTTATCGTGCTTGTACTCGACGGTAACTTGAGTCTTGGTATCAGGTCTCAACCAAGGGAGGGATCCATCTCGGCGAGCAGCAGACATCGCAGCGTTAAGCTTGTGGGCCAATTGAAGAGTCAAAGGGAACAGTTCTGGGGTCTCATCGGTGGCATATCCGAACATGATACCCTGGTCACCAGCTCCGAGTTGCTCGAGGGCTTGCTCGTAGTGAAGACCTTGAGCGATATCTGGGGATTGTTCCTCAATGGCGACCAAAACATTGCAAGTCTTGTAGTCGAATCCCTTTGCGGAGTCATCGTAACCGATGTCCTTGATCGCTCCACGGATAACTTTCTGGTAGTCGAGACGGGCCTTTGTGGTGATCTCACCAAAGACCATAATCATACCGGTCTTGGTGGCAGTCTCACAAGCGACCTTGGAGAGAGGATCCTCCCGTAAGCACGCATCGAGAATGGCATCAGAGACCTGATCAGCGATCTTATCTGGGTGACCTTCACCAACTGATTCGGACTGAAGGAAGTTTTATCAGTACGATGTGGTCATTGTGCAACCTGTCCACGGATGACTTACGGTGAAGAGGAAAGTTCCCTGGTTGTGGTGGGAAGTCCCATTGGAGGTACCGTTTGGCGCCATTTTTGCGGTATTTGAGGATTGGAAGGTGAAAGGAGAGTGGGGATTCGATTGCAACCTGAACCTGTATCTGTATCTGTGGGCGGGACTGGAGGAGAGAAGTGGTATGAAAGAAGGAGCTCGAGGGATCCTACAGAAATTTGGTGGGGTTTTTAAATGGAAGGCCGTGCTCACTGCTGTGAAGGTTGTTGGAGACGCTAGCCGAAAAATGGTGCAATCCGAAGGAATTTTGTGCCGCATTACACCGCCTTTTTGAGGAAAAGTACACTTCTGCCACCCTATGATAGGACACAGACAATCTCGTTGCTGACGCTCAAGCCGGCATAGGATTGATCAAGGGGTGATGCAAGAGGGGTTGTTTCAGCCTTGTACATCAGGTTCACCTTGGGAATATTTCGTGTTCGGATTTGCGAAAGGCTGAGGGCGCGGGGAAATATTTTGCGATTTTCGACTTGGTTATATACCCCACCAAGCACAGTTTCCAACCAACATCATGTCTAAATACGGGGTTTTGGTGATGGGTCCAGCTGGGGCAGGCAAGGTATGTCAGATTGCAGCTTCACCGAGTATTGGTATAGCTGACATCGCTGCAGTCAACTTTTTGCTCAGCGCTGATAACTCACTTGCGGAACAATCGCCGTTCGTGTTTCTATGTAAACCTCGATCCCGCCGCCGAAGAATTTACCCACGAACCGGATTTGGATATCAAAGATCTAATCTCCTTGGAAGATGTTATGGAAGAGATGGGACTAGGGCCTAATGGTGGACTGATATACTGCTTCGAATTCCTTCTCGAGAACCTCGATTTCCTCACCGAAGCCCTGGATCCATTGTCCGAGGAGTACTTGATCGTTATCGACATGCCTGGACAGATTGAATTGTATACGCATATTCCTATCTTGCCGGCGCTGGTTAAACACTTAACGAAGACCGGTGCATTGGATATAAATCTTTGCGCGGCGTATTTACTAGAGGCGACTTTCGTGGTTGACAAGGCGAAGTTTTTCGCGGGAACACTTAGTGCGATGAGTGCGATGATCATGTTGGAAGTACCACATGTGAATATCTTGAGTAAGATGGATCTTGTCAAAGGATCGGTTGGGAAAAGAGAATTAAAGAGATTTCTGGATCCGGATAGTACATTACTGGACGACGCACCAGGCGAAGAAGATGTGGATGACGGTACACAACAGGCGGGAGAATCGGGAACGATGATGAGAGGTGCAAGCTTCAAACGACTAAACCGAGCTGTTGCTGGTCTAATCGACAGTTTCAGCATGGTGTCATATTTGAGATTAGAAGTTCAAGACGAAGACAGTGTAGGTGAAATACTGAGCTACATCGACGACGCGATTCAGTACCATGAAGCTCAGGAACCGCGAGAGCCAAACGACGAAGTAGAATATGATGAGACAGCCGGCGAGAACTAAGTAATGATACCATGGTTAGAGGAGTAAGGGCCGGGGATAAAATGCATAGCGTCGGCGTAATTTGTACTATTACCATTATATACTACTATTTTCCGTATCATGTTCAAAGATGGATCAAAAGCGCCCACCCAACCCACCAAGATGCCTTCCCAATATCATTTCATAACGCCTACGGGCAATAGCATCCTGTCGGAAGCCCGTTTCCATCCAAAAACAAACTTTCCCAACCTGAAGATGCTTCAGTGACCATAATACTCTCTCGTCGCTGTGCCCAGGTCCATTGCCACGGAGGTAAAATGCAGTCACGGCATCTTAACCAGCCCCAAAGACACCTCCCTCACTCTCGACTAATATCCTTCTCCCATCTACATCACCACCTCGCCCTCCCCCCTCTCATCCCCTCCACACTCCCCTGCTGCTGATACCCCTCCCACCTTCTATACTCCCTCATCCACACCGCACTAATCTCCTCACCCCACCCCACAAGATCCCTCACACTCCTCTCCAGCCCCCTCTGCGACACCATCGCGCCGACCAGCCCCAGCACGCCCCAGAACATCAGGCGCATCACCAGCCGCGTCCACCACAGCAGCATCCGTCGGAACGTGTCGAGCACTTTGATCGCGATGATGAAGAAGCCTACGAGCAGGATCGCCGAGATGATGGCGGGTGATTCTTGTGCGAATGTGAAGGTGCGTTGGAGGAGGGGGGTGAGGATGGGTGTTGCGTGGGACTGGACGGTTGAGAGGGTTGAGGTGAAGGTGCGTCGGAGGGGGGTGAGGTAGGGGTTGAGTGTTTGGTAGAGACTGTGGGCTTGGAAGGCGTAGTCTTGAAAAGTCAGCATGAGGAATAGGGTTGGGGATGGGGTGATGGTACCTTGGATTAAATCCATTTTGAATAGCTGGCAGTTGTGTGTTGCGCGTGCCAAATAGGTGCGCTTGTTTCGCGGGAGTTGGGGTTTGCTTTCTTGTTTGGTATCACTTTTTGGTGAGACAGGTGTAAAGCTGAAGAGAGAGAAAGAGCTTCTATGTTGATGTTGGATTGGGAAGTGGTTGCGGATTGGGATAATTAATGATGTTGCAAGACATGTTCTCTGGGGAAACGCGCCTCGCTAGGTCATGTTGCGACGTAGTCTATTTTGGCACGTGAAGAGGGTGAGTGAGGGGTGAAAATACATGTTACAAGACCACTTCTAAAGACATTCAGCTGTATTTCATTACGAAAAAGCTGATTTCAAACATTTTGTTATTAATCACAGCATTTCTATTCTAAAGTACTGCTGCCTGAAAAAACTCGTTACTATTCTTCTATTGCGAACATACAACCTCGCTATGCAAAAATCAAGACCCTTTCGGATATGCTTACAGCTGGAACACCGTGTACTCTTCATTTAATTTCTAATTTCTTCTCAATCATCATCCAAGGTCATCTATATCATAATCTTCCCAGCTCATAAGGGGGCAATACATGGTACTTTTATAGTGACTCGAAGTGATTTCTCGGTCCCTTGGAAACCAAAGCAAAGAAACAAAATCCACCACTTCTCACAGGCCGCCATTCCCATATTTCTCCAATGCCTTCTTATACCACACATCCCAATCAAACGTTTCCACTCCATGAGTAACCTTCCACCACCCACCAAAAAGACTCACAAAACTCTCCCGATCCCAAGGATCAGTCTCAATAACCTGATCGACTCTAAAATGCAGCTTTTGCTCAGCTAACCGAGCAAGCTCTTCTGCTCCACCCTCCCGCAATAACTTGGAAAAGCGCTTCTCATCTACACTCGGCGTTGAGAGACCGTCACCGTACAGCTCTCCTAGGTCGTACAGTAAGAGCGGTGATTGGAATGCCGAGCTCTTTGAAGTAACAATGGCTAGCTCCCAGTCGATAATGCCGGTGATGTTGTAGTTATCGTCGACCATGAAATTTGCGTCCCTGGAATCTACATGACGGAGGAAGAAAGGGGGTGATTCGTTGGGTGGGAGGGAGTCGAGAAGACTTTTGTAGACAAGATATTGATCAAGTGGTGCTGAAGATGCAATCTCCTGGCTTTTGATAAGCTGGAGTCTCTGCTGGATTAAAGCTGTGTAGTAGTCGTTTGAATGATTGAATGGGCCGAATGGTGTCAGATTTCCGCTCGAGTCGTAGTCGAAAAACGCAGGTCCAACTTCTGGTTGCCCCGTAGATGACAGTTGCAGATGTCCCACCTTGTCGAGAGGATGTTGTTCCAACTTGGTATATATGTCTGCTAATTGACCAGCGAACTTTTCTTTCTGTGCCTCGCTTGCTTTGTACCATTCCAATGGCTTTCCAGGCAGCTTTTCAAGTAGAATATAACCCGCGCCAACAATATTCATAGGATCCTCGTCGTCAGCACAGTCGTACACCTCAGAGACTAGAACACCGGTTCCTGCAAGGAAGCGATATGTCGCAAACTCACTCCGTCTATCGACATTTGTCTCCTGCAATGGAGGTTCGTTATGATTTGGGAGTCTGAACCTTGCCAACCAAGTTTTACCGTCTTCAAACACAATTGAGCCGTGGTAATTACGCCCGCCGACGATGTTAAAGTTGAAATACGCTTGATCCGCTGATGGGAGATTGACAGTGCATTTGACCCCATCACGTAGAGTCTCTGCACGCATGCGAAGGGCATCACAGTTGATAGTTTCCAACAGTGTGGAGATTACCTTTTCGCCTGCCGCTCGTCTGATCGAGTTTAGATCCTTGAGCTTAGCTGGGTCCCTTGATCTGTAGATCGCTTGAACATCCTGGATTCATGTCAGACATTATGGATATATCGAAGCATTGTTTCGATGATTCAAACCTCTGCTGTAGCACAAGAATGCAGCCTTGACACTATATGTTTTTTGCAGAAATGTCGGTTACAAAGTTCACACTGTCCGTGGAGCGCTCTTAAAGCTGGCAGATCACACGGTTGAAGCGCACAAGGCCACTTCATACTTGAGCATTTGACTAGAAATGGTTAATACCGTGTTGGAAAATGGAATCGAGTAAGATCGCAAACGGTGCCTTACCTTTGCAGTTGCCGAAGAGACTTCTGTTATACAACATCCAAGGAAAAAAGAGTGGTTCACCAACCCCATATACCCTTGCTGCATATGTGATGCGTGTTGGGAGCCACGTTGACTGCAGCAAGCTTGGCTAAATTCGTAAATAAGGGCCATTAATTATATCAATTATGAATACGATCTAATCGATACTCTATTCAATATGCTTCCAACCAGAACACAATGTGCTCCCCCATACGCCAAATTTATGATGGTTTTCGTTATCATCTAAGGTCATCAATATCGTCATCTTCCCAACCTAGGGATTTATATATACAACCCTCCTGTTCTATGCTGACCTTCTTTGGCGTCTCTGAAATTGAATTTGGAGCTTCCAAGACAGTTTTATTCTCCTGATCAAACCTAGGAGATTGAGTAGGATGTCCGTGGACTACGTCGTTTGTGAGTTTCTTCTTAATTGGCGTTTCAAGAACGTCAAGTTGAGACCAGGATTCTTGAGGTAATTTTGTGACAGAGTCGGAAACAGTCGAGAACAACTGAGCACTTGATCGACGTATATGCGAAGTAGATGGTGGAGGAACCCTGGGCTGAAAACTTCGATCAATACCCAGAAAATCTCTGGTCCTTGGTAGTGCCCGGGTTGGCGTTTCCTGTACTGCAGAGAAAAGAGGGTTCTTTTTCGCGGCCGCTTCCCGAACACTAGACTGCGGAATTCTAGGAAGACTTGAAGGTGGAATTGCTTCCAAAGTGGGACTTAGAAGCCGCTCAGAATGTTGACTCGGCGGCTTGAGATTTGCGTCCCTCATACGGTTTGTCTTTGGCGTTGCAGATATTTGGATACCCTGGAAAAGGGGATTCCTAACAGGCTTCTTCGATTCTGGCAAATGGTTAGTATTCAGTTTTAAATAATAAATTTTCTTCAGTGGCTTACTTCGAGAATGTGAAGCGGAAGTGGACCGCCGCTCCGCGGTCTCAACCAGAGCCTTCCCAGCGAGTTCACGATTAGGCTTTTTCAATGCTGAGATAGCATCTTTGAGTTCGGCATCTATCTTGGCTTGTTTTGCTGCTTTCGCATTCGTGGCTGCATTAAAGCTACCGAGATCCACTTCTCGACGAGCCAGCTGCTTCGACTTTGCGACCTGACCTCTACCACTGTCCCCAAATTGGGACTCCGCCACTGGAATACCGGATAATGATGGTGCTTCGCTTTTTTCACGTTTTAATCCAGGAATCGATGGCATGGTTGCGGATCTCAAGAGCGACACGGCACGTTCTGGGCCACGAGACATACTTCGACGCTCTCGCTCATCTGTAAGAACACGCTGCAAACTCCGCCGCGGCTTGGACGGAACAGGTCTTTTGGTAGCCGCACCGGGACGCGATAGTGCGCCCGAGAAGCTGGAAGATTTTGAAAGCTTTGCTTTCGGCGGTGATACAACCACCGGGCCACCTAGCTTACGATTTATGATGGCACAACGCTCCGGTAGACGGGCTGAGAAGCTGTAAAGAATTAAAGATGGGAAATCGCAGGAATGCACTGTACTCACAATGGTGCAATAACTTCGATACAAAAGTCTTTTAGTATGTTGTCTGTGTGCTTCGATACTGCACCCAAACTTCCAGGAACCACGTTCTGACTGTCTTGGTCTGTTGCCTTTACATCTTCCATCTGGATTGACTGCCAGATGCACAAACGATCAATGTGAACATCGATGATATTGGAAAGATTCTCGGGCCTTTTAGACTTGGATTGCTTCTCGTTTGCTCGTAACGGCTCTGAGCCAGGGGCAACGGAAGGCAAACTGTCCCCCTTATCCTCTGTTTGGGAGGCTAATGGTTGTAGTGCGAGCACTTCGAGGATGACGATTAGTTGGAGCTGTGTTTCTCGAATTCGTAGCTGAGAAATCCTGTTCTTCGCTACCTCCTCTCTGGACGTTCCTGGTGCTCCTGAATCAGCATCATCGTCGTGACACGACCACCATTTTCGAATCAAATCCTCTTCTGACGGATACAGGCCATTCTTTCCGGTCTTAATTCGCTTAGTGCTCTTTCTCTTCTTGATCTTCAAAGGGCCATCTTCATCTTCAATGGCGCTATCATGAATATCTATCGTAGAAACGCATGTAGGAACTCCATCGCGATACTTCTTTTCGATCAAAGAGTTTGACAAAACGAGACTTTCGAGAAACGAGACTAGGTCGCTCATTTCTAGAGACGAGTCATAGTCAAGGTGAAAAGCAGCGCGCGCTCGAGAGATTGGCCCTTTCGCAAAATAAGCAAGTGATGCCTGTCAACGTTAGCTACTGCAACAACGTCAATCTAAAAAATCCTTACCTTTGAGAGATAGAGTGCCTCCAGGTATTGCGTGCGCACATTGTCAAATATTTCTTCGCCAGTCGGCGGCGCAGGGGTTTCTGCTAATCCAGGAGATTTGGCTGAAGTGGGCAGTATTGGTGGTAGTAAAGCTTCTGTTTCTGCGTTTGCGGGTGATTCGATGTGTGGTAATTCTGTTGACATGGGCGTGGACGGTCTTTTGACCATGGACTGAATAGCCTCAATTGCCAGACGCTTCTTTTTATCGTATTTGTGTGACTCGGTAGTGGTACTAGGGAAGACATCCTCCTGCTGTAGAAGACTGTTGCGGCCAGGCTCTCTTTCTGTCTGATTGGGTATTTCCTGTTTCGACATGACCGCGGATGCCTTCAATTGCCGCACGTCAACCCAGGACCCAAGCTTGCAGAGCACATATAGGCCCCTGGCCTCTCTTTCTACGGCGTATAATGTGCGTCCATCCTCAAATCGAGCTATAAGTACCACAGGTTGGTTTCCCATACGTTCTTCCAGCTCCAAGATTTTGACGTGAGTCTCAAACAAGCGCGACTGTGGGAGTGCATTCGCCGAGGGCACAAGGTCTAGGAATGATAGTGGTAATTTGGATCGAGGTAATAACATAAGCGGATAGAGCGTGCGCGGCTTTACGAAAACTGTCGTTGGATATGGCTACATGGTTGTCTTGTGAGTTAATTGATATCGAATTGAGACAGTGACTTCCAACCTTGACTACGAAACTCCCTTCGAGAAGATCCTCCATAGTGTTGCCATCTCGTTTTCGTTTCTTGGACCCAGAGAAGCTGCCGTCGCTGAGGTTCATGGAATTGTCTGAAGTTGGTGTAAGGATTCCTGAACGCGCAGGAGTTTTGACCGACGCGTCGAAGATTGGCAACTCATACTGACTTGACATAGCAAAAGAAATACAAGTAAAAGTATTGTTATAGAGGCATCATCATTTCAGAGGCGGCCTTTAATCGGTGATAAGAATCGCTGCGTAGTATTAAACTGGCAGTGTGAAATACGACATGTACCCAGGTACGGAGTAGAGGGGAGTGAGTTGAGCAGTCAAGGTTCGCGTGACGCACGAAGCCGACGCGCTTGAAAATGACAGGGCTGATCGCGGGCCGGGTCAGCCACAACTCAAAATGTTCCCGGGGTTCACATCTCAGCATTGTGGACCGTTGACAGCGCACAGGCGCGGTCTTCCAACTTCCAAGGTGAAAACAAAGGGGTCAGAAATTGCTTTTGGGGTGGTCTTTGTTGTAGATAAGACTTGGGAATCTATGTCTTGGAGCACCCAGGATCATAAACAAGTATTCATTTTGTATAGCCGCCCTTATCTTCCTCGAACTCGATCTTAGCTACCATTTTCTAAAGTGGTTTCGTGTTGCGACAAAATAAAAAGCTATTACTCACTATTAGGTGAGGTGTTGAGAAATACCGAGTAAGAATTTTATTAGCCTTACTTCGTGCTATATCATTGTTCGAAAATACAACTAATCACATGCAAACCATCTCAAGTACGGTCTGTAGCTCCGCAATTCACGTATCGTATCGAATTGATGGCCAGAACAGCATTGATTCTTTGGGAGAAGATTTGCGCTCAATTGTGGCGAGTGTCAACGTAAGGCTTTTGCGGGGTGGATTGTGACTGGATGCGTTTGTTGACACCAAAGCGAGCTTTGAAGCTGTCCTTGAATACTTGTACAAGCACTTCTACACTTCGTACATCCAAGAATTGCTTCACGGTTGCAGAAGGCTTCTCATTAGAAGAATTCCTTTTCGTCCCCGTCCCTGGCTCCTACTTTCAAGGCAAATTCCCACCAATACCCGGGGCGAACAGTGCGCGCATCTACGCGTGTCTCCCACAACCTCCTGGCGCCCGGTCGAACTCGCCTGAAGATACTTTTTAAACTCCGACATGCTATCAAATTGCCCATTCTTGAACCTCAACTCTGCCATTCAAGTGGCTTTCCTCTGATAGGGCCGGAATTGCTACTGCGTGTCTATTCTCGAAACATCATCTTTCTTTGATCGCCCAGTCCTGTACAAAGATTTCTTCGGAGATAGCCTCAAGCACTGTTGCTTCCATCCCGTTCGTTCCTTCCGTGATGCACGCCCATCGACGCTAAGGAAACAAATTACTACCCACGCCGCAGCGGCAGCAACTTCTTCCTCAGCCATGAGTCTCGAGATATCTCCAAGGTCCGTACGATTCTCTCACGGGCACGAGGAGGATAGTACAGAGACTCTCAAAGCGCCAAGGGCGATGGAACGTCCGCATGCTCAGACGAGCGACTCTGGCGGTTCCGCTTCATCTGCAGATTCGCAGGAGTCTGCTCTGCTAGGGATAGACGCAAGGACTGCTAATGGCAGCATACACGCCTCCCAGCTCTCTCAAATGGAGACACGACCGCCCATTACAAGCATGAATTCGAGCATGCGCTCCCACCGCGGCAGCAGCGATGCCAATGGGACGTATCCCAACACCATGCCTATGAACAGCGCAACTTCAAGACCACAAAGGCCCACTGCTCCAGCACGAACGCCGTCAAGCACCTATGCGCCTGCTCGTCGGCCGCTTCAGTCCCCTTATATTTCGACGGTACAGGATCGTAATCGGACGGGGTCTTCGACACGGTTTAGTAGAACCGACCCTAGCACCGCGTATCGTGCGCAGGAGAAGGGATACATACAGCGACTGCGACAGGACCAACCCTCCGAGTACTTCGAACCCTATACGCCGAGCCTGGGTTATGGAACTGGATCAGATACCGAAGAGGAGTCACCTTCAGACCAACTATTTGGGGATAACGACGTCTACGACCAGGAGACCTTGCTCTTCTATGGGAATGATGATGTGCAGCCAACCGAAGAGGATCTACAGGATCCACTAAAACGAGAAAGACTGGAATGGCACGGCATGTTAGCATCAGTCCTTACCGGAGATGTTGTTAGGCAAGAAAAGAAACGTTTGATAGGAGCTTCGGAAAAACAGGGAGAAAACTTGAATGTTGAGATATGGATGGGAATACGTTCCAAGGTCTGTGGCCGCACCCTAGCAGCACAAAGAAGAATTGTAGAGGATGCCCGTCATGGTCTGGACAACCTAATCGACGAGATCATTAAATTCGAAGTTCAGGGGCAGAGCGAGGCTGGCAAGTCCCCTGTGGAACAAGTTCGGGATGTTGTAAAGAAAATCGAGAGGTGTGAAGGGCTATATCCTACTCGATCTGCTTTAGAGGAAGACAAGAAGATTGCTGCTTCTCCCCAGTTCCAAACAACATACAATGCCGTCCTCTCGTGGCACAATACTACTGAGCTTATTAATACCGAGCTTGGAATTCTGCAGAGCTGGGTGGGAAATCCAGAACTGGATTTCAATAAGGCGAAAGATCAATCTCCTTCTGGAAATGGACTGACAGACGAATCCTCGTTCATTGACCGACTTCTGAAGGAAGATGGCCTCAAGTCGTTGCAGGGAGAAAAGAGCATCTTGCTCGGCGTCACAAAAGTCATTGAGAAAGCAAAAAGCACCTTGATACAAAACTCCGAAATCTTTGCCCGGCGGCATCTGCCACCTTATATCGAAGAACTTTTAACCCTCATCAACTTCCCATCTCGTTTGATCGAAGAGATTATTAAAGTACGGTTGCAATTTGCTAGAAAGATGAAGGATTCAGCCCAGCAGAATGCTATGATGCAAGAACAGATGATATCTCAATTCCAGATCCTCCTCAAATTGGCAGTCCAAATCAAGCAGGAGTATGTCAAGATTTCACAACCCGAACCTGGCTGGGACCTTCCGCCATGTATCGACGAATCGTTCGACCAGGTTGTGCTAGATGCGTTGAAGTTCTATTTCAAAATGCTCAATTGGAAACTTGGTAGTAACAGAAATACTTTCAAGGAAGCCGAGGTTTTAGAGCAAGAATGGGAGTTTTCTAATGAGATCGGCCGGCATTTGCAAGGCGGTGATGTGGAGGTTGCGGAGCAGTTCAGTTCCCTCACTTTCAAGGCCTTCAATCGGTTAAGCCAAACCTTTGAGCGTGATCTACAGCGAAAGCCTAAAGAGAGCGCTGCTGAGATGACCAAACGTTACAAGCAAAGTCTTGACTCCGTCCGCGTTCGTCAGCGCATGTTGCAGCGTTTTTCTCGAGTCTTGAATGATCGCTTTGAGAATTCAAGCGACTTCAGCATGGCTCTGGGACGTGATGACCTGCAACATCTATATGGAAGGCTTATTGAGTCGGGCCATTTCCTGGTCTACACCGCGAGCATCGAGCACGACGGCATATTCTTGATAGCCTCGCCCTCATTATACAACCGGCCGCAAGATATTCAATCAATTCTAGGAACTTGTTTTCATTCGGCAGATGTGCCTGAAGATCCAACAAACCCATATATACTTGTTCTTAGACCTGAGGTCCAAATGCCCTGGGATGGTAGACAAGTCGATGCAGATATTCCTGAGCCATCAACCGACGTCAAGCTTGGCCATCTCCGTCTGATTGCTGATGGCTCTCAAGCTAGACTGTCGAATGCACGGTCCTCGTTCCTCGAATCCATTGAGATGCATCTAGACATGGTCGTTGAGCAGCGGTCAAACCTCAAAAAGGTCAATATGAGGTTGACTGAAATCAAAAGAGTAGTGTATAAACTATCTGGTCTCATCATGGATAGTGTTGAGATTGTGCGCAAGCAGACTGTAGGTTTAGACTGCCAGGAGCTAATACAAACATGCTTCGTTTTTGCGACGGAATTTGGTCAACGCTCGTTGTTATACATGGACCGAAACCGGAAACAAATGAACAATCTAAAACTCACGAAATTAGCTTTGGATTGGGTCAGCTTCATTTGCGATGATTGCATCGCTAATGACAGAAAGACCTTCAGATGGGCTGTTCAAGCCTTGGAATTCGCCATGGTCATGACCACTGGCCAGCACATCCTAGCACTAGGTGAGGATGAGTATGCTCGTCTTCGAGCCAAGGTAGCGGGTTGTATGTCTCTACTGATCTCTCACTTCGACATCATGGGAGCGAGATCCACACTCGCAGCTCAGGCCGAGAAGCAAAAGATAGAAGCTATCAGTAACCAGTTCAGAAAGATGGATATGAATCGTATGATGAATGACGAGGAATCGGCGAAGTATGTTCTTGAGTCCAGGCTTCAAGAACTTGCAAGACTTGATGATACGCGAAAGCAGAAAGAAGCTGAAAGGCAGGCACTTGGGCGCGTGATGGAGGGAACCAACGAAGCGGACCGTTCGCTGACTTACCTTTCTTCTTCGGCTTCCAATGTCAACATGAGGTGGCAACAAGGACAGTTCGTAGGAGGTGGCACATTTGGTTCTGTGTATGCTGCTATCAATCTCGATTCTGGTCAACTTTTAGCCGTAAAAGAGATCCGTCTGCAGGATCCAACACTCATTCCGACTATTGCTGGTCAAATCAGGGACGAAATGAATGTCCTCGAGGTCCTGGACCATCCCAACGTGGTTTCTTATCATGGAATCGAAGTGCATCGCGACAAAGTTTATATCTTTATGGAGTTCTGTTCTGGTGGTTCTTTAGCAGGTCTCTTAGAGCACGGCCGTATTGAAGACGAACAGGTCATCATGGTCTATGCCTTACAACTGCTAGAAGGTCTCGGATACCTACATGAAAGCGGCATCGTGCATCGCGATATCAAACCCGAGAGTATGTACTCCGTATCCTTGATTGAGCTTCTTACTAACTCGCTTTAGACATTCTTCTCAACGAAAACGGCGTAATCAAATATGTCGATTTTGGCGCTGCAAAGGTCATTGCCCGTCAAGGGAAGACGCTCATCGCTGCAGCAACAGGCAAAACCGAAAAGGCCAAGTCGATGACTGGAACACCAATGTACATGTCCCCTGAAGTCATCAAAGGCGAAAACCCGGGTCGTGCTGGCGCTGTCGATGTTTGGTCTCTTGGATGTGTAATTCTCGAAATGGCAACTGGCCGTCGGCCATGGGCATCTCTCGACAACGAATGGGCTATCATGTACAACATTGCTCAGGGCAACCCTCCACAACTTCCTACCAACGAACTCAGTCCTCAAGGCATCGACTTTCTCAGAAGATGTTTCATCCGCGATCCTAAACAACGTGCTTCGGCCGCTGAACTTCTACAACATGAATGGATCATGGCCATTAAGTCTCAGGTATCCATCGACCCCGGAACACCGAGTGACAGTGGATCTTCCACATCGACTCACTCATTGTCCCGTAGCAGTCTGGTCTGAAACGGCTATCTTCTTGTTCTGAAGACGGATCCCACTCAACTTTGCGACATATTTCGCTTCCTTGCACCTTATCTTTCTTGTCCAAACTTCTACTTGTAATCTTTGCTCGCTTTTGAACTGGGACGTTTCACCATATAGTCTCTTGGCGAGGCGTAATTTGGGGTTTTCTTTTGTTTTCATGACGTACACGGGCATTCAGCGACGGCGCAGTATACGAAGCGTTTGGTCGCATAGCGCGCAGTCTATCATTTTATATGGCATCAGCGATGCGTTACGGAGTTTTGTCTGTTTGCCTTAGGATTGGCTGGAACGGATGGCTATCGTCGACATGATAGTCATATGTAATCAGTGGAGCAGCGTGTATCAGATTCGGGATGGGAATGGAGGCGGTGAATGTTGTTGAAACAACCTCGCTATCTGGGGAGAATGAGGGCGAGGTGGGGTGGAGGTGTGTAAGCTATTGACGGAGATGACTAGAAGTGGACTTGTTGGTAGTTGTCGCAACACAAAGAGTTGAGATGTTGGCATGGAAATCGAAGCTGGAGATGGAAATCATAATTGAATGGCATAATTCGAATAATAGATCAAAATCAGCTAAAACAAATGCACGATTATTCCTCAAATACAACCTCTCTACCCTCTTCCCCCTCTCGCTATCCTCGGCTCATCGTCATCACCCATGAGACATCTCTAACCCTCCCCCTCCTTCGTATCCCATCATCCCACAAATATACACTTCCCGCTTTGACACCCGTCGCGCACATTCGATAGTCGATCCATCATCCCAGCTGCTTTTCTTGACCGACATTTCCCATGATTTCCTACGGCGGCGCACGTCCTACCGCGTTGCGTACCCGCTTGCATATTGAATGTTTCACTACCCAGGTACGAACGAGGCTTTCCCCACATCTAGATCGGATCGGATCGTCGGTTCTGTGCGTTTTGGGTGTTTTGGTCCGTGGACTGAAGCGGGTGATGTGCATTTGTTTAGTTTTGGGAATAATGTTAGGTGCGAGCGGGTGTGGGTTTTTGATAGTTGGGTGCGGGTGGGTTTGTCGGTGCTGAAAAACTGGATGCGTTTTCTTGGTTGGGAGGTTTACGAGGGAGAGTGGTTTGAGGTGGATGGGGATGGTTGTGGTGAGCGGTGAAGTGGGTAGGAAATGAGGATTTTGTTGGAGGGGTAGTGTTGATGAAGTCTCGAGGCTCTCTGTGGTTTAGTCAACAGCTTAAGAGGTACTTTTGGCTCGCTCCAACTAGAGTGACTTGGGTGTATGAGTTTATTGATGCTGAAGAAGACACAACAGCAAGTTCTTCTTGCACGAGTGGCATAGCAGAGGGGGTTTCCTCTCACATGGCTTTTGGATACTCGCTAAGCGAATGTTGTTATTTTATCATACGCCATTTGAGAAGCTCTCAGCCTGAAGTTTCTTGCCAATAGAGAGAGAGGCGTGAGAAATTGCACCATAGCCCATCTATCAGACAGTTTGTATGTGTTTTAAAAGTTGTGTGACCCGTTGGGATTGCCCGTTCACTCTCAGTCTCACTACGCACCGTGTAGCCGCCAACAGGACACTCAACGGCCTCGTACACTCAACGGCCTCGTATAACTGTATCGAGAGATCTAGACGGGAGCTTTAGACCCCAACGTGGTGAAACTCGAGATGCAAGAATAAGGAGATATAATATAGCCATCTCTTGAATCCAAACCTTAGCGCCCGGACTCTAGAGAAGCCGCTTGAACTCAAAAGCATCTCAGCATAGGAATGCAAGCTATCCTTAAGCTGACATGCAGTGTTTGCCACCGAGCGGTTGCAATATCCAATCTTTGGGTACGTAAAGTTGTCAAGATATTGCCTACACGAAATGACTTACTGTAGAATCTCGCTTACACAAGATGATCATATATCCAACACGCATCTCAAGACTCCAACTTCCCATTCAAGAAGTCGACGCCCCGGTCTTTACGAGTAGAAACAATGAAGCTCTCGGAATCAAGAGAAGCCGCGAGTATTCTTGCACTTCTGACCTCAAAAAAAGGGGGATCTTCGACTTGCTGCAAGGCGATGGTGATCTTGCAAATCCTTCGATGATGGGAGAGGGTGAGAGATAATTGGTAGCGGCAACGAGGAGGATGGATGTGTTACTCGAAAGTGTTTCTCATGTGAGAGATCTCCGTCATGGATTGTATGTGCTGAGTAGATCAATTGGAGTATTAGCGGCCGACAGCTCATAGACGCGAGTTCGCGATAAACTTACGACGTTTCTTGGGAATTTCAAGTCGTAGAACTATCTTCAGATAGTGATGATACTATTCTCGACCAAGGGCACGACCGAGAAATCCTCTACAAGGTGAAATGCAGCTCTAACTACTGAATTCGAAACTCGCGGTGCCCGATTGCCGATGAAGAAGAAAATATATTGCGGCAGTAGCGGGTTTAAGCGCCACAGTTACCGTGCATCGTCTCTCGCCTGTCGGCAAAGCCGTTTACCTTCCTGTATCAGATAGAGAGGATGAATTGCATACAGAAAAGACGAGGAGTCGTCATCAGAAATGCAAGATAGAGGGGAGGTGCAGGACATCTACCGCGATTAGATTGAAAAACACACGCCGTGCATCGGCTCTCGCTCAGGCCGAAGTATTTCGGTTGCCTTTTTGCATCTTGGTGTGATACAGAGCTCGAAAAAGCAGTGAGTTTGTACTGATCAGTCGTGCTTGTGGAACTGTGGATAAGTGTTGACATGCACACATGTGGCGAGCACGCGTGAAGCGGGTAATGTGATGTTCGGCTGGTGATGCTGCCGTGGTTATAATTAACCTTCCTACATGAGAACTGTGTAACACAAAAACGACCTTCTTGCATTCGTTCAGTATGTGTAAAAGAGGCGTGGAGACGACTGTCCTGGTTGTGCTGTTCGGCTACTGAGCCGATGAAGTATGGCTACGGCAAAGAGAAGCAAGTTCACCTGAGCGTCGAACACCAGCGGTTGTACAAGCCTATGATTCGTAAGTCCACGAGGGTGAGAACTCTGTGTTGTTCTTGACATAAGAAAGCTAAGTATAGGCTTACATCTAGCTGTTTCGAAGTCATGTAAATGACGATATGCAGCGGAGATTTTTGTACGATCCCGATTGAGTTCTCTTGAAGAGGTTCTAGTTGGAGTCTTGCTGGGGTAAGATCGGGGGCCAGCGCTGGAGTAGGGGTGAAGATGCTTTCGAAGCTTTTGCAAAGGCAAAATTGAGATAGAGTTGAAGCGGCTTTGGCGTCGGAAAATTCAGTGTGGGACCTAGATCAGCATGGTGGAGATCTCCAAGATGTGCGATTACTGTAGAAAGTTCGAAATTTACAAACGCGCTTAAGAATCCGAAACTCTTTGACTCCCAAAAGATGTAGCGGTCTGTATACTACAGAGCTTCTACTCCAAGGTATACCGTCTTGTCCGTTTGTCGCGAGTCATATTCGCCAACCTTTTGATTTGGCTGCTGCCGCATATGCAAAGCACGGTGTTTGTCCGTTTTCAATGGCGCGTACCTACATATCTTCCCAGGCCTGGGCATTGACCATGATCGAGTTCTGCGTGTAAATCAACTTTAATCAAGGTGTTCTGGAGGAAGTGGGTATTGAAGGCCGTGTGCCTGGATGACTTGCTTACTAGCAGACGCACCTCATGCAAGGCAGTGTAAACCCTGTATACTGCGTTCTTCACCGCCATTTTATAGGTGGTTCAACCCACCATGTCTGCTTTCGTGATTAGTGAGCGAGCACCTTTTGCAATTATAATTAATTACTGTAATTATGGAAAGTCAAGGGTGTCGTTTAAAGATATTGAAAGTTGCAACGTCAATGTGTGAGCGAAAGCAACGAAGGCAATGTATGAAGGCGAACAGTAGGAACTGACGAGGGCATAAGTATACTCGATTTAAGAATATACCATTTTAATGGCCAGCAGTTACTACTTGTAGAGGTATATCAAAATATTTAACTTCAATTCCCTGAAATGCAGCCTTTAACCAACTCCCTGTCCCTTAACACCCTATCGAGAGCGACCCATGGCCGAGTTTCCCTTCCAAAATTTCTATGTTTGTCTGATTGTTCTGCTTTCTAGTCTAAATTGATTTCATCTCATGCCATCTCAAATAAGTCGCGTAGGCGGCTTACTAGATTTGAAAGTTTGCTGGAGATAGATGGCTACTGCGTCGTGAGTGTACGAGTCTGAGTTTACATGTGTAAATTCCATTCCATAGGTTCTAGCCAAATCCAAAGCTTCGTGGTATTCTATTGCGTAATCGATTGTTTGTGGTTGAGTCGCGAGTTTGATGTGGTAAATCTCATGTAACATTATGTGACTGGTGGTGGCCACGAAATTGACCATGTTCATCTGCCCCATTTCGTCGTCTTTGTGTCTTGCAATTTGTTCTCCAATCGTCTCCAAAGACCAGTACGGAGGACAAAAAGTTATTGTATGCATGTGATTACCGGACAGGTGGAAGTCTAAATTATAGTAGTTATTGGCGTACATTTTACCGTCATCACACAGATCATCGTCCGGCTCTGGTGTATACCTCCAAAAAAATTCTTCGCTTTTGCCATACTCTCCTCTAAACAGCCCTGCAATGCGAGCAAAATTATCTTCGATAATTTTACCCCAACCCTCTTTCTCAGGAGTATCCCTCGCGTCCCAGTCATCACCCATCCATGTTCTATGCACGAGGTCATAGTCGTAGCCGGCAATGATGTTGGTTTGTGCTTCTATAATTAACTTCGCATCTTCCCAAGCGCTTTTAAGCCTTTCTTTCTGTTCATCGGTGCATTTAGACTCGACAAATTTTCTCGAGAATCCGCCTTTCACGAACTCCCACATCTGAGCCTCTGGCTGAGGAGTTTGTCGAGGTCTAATTGTGGGCTTGTACGGCGACTTATGTGCCACAGCGCAGCCGAACCAGATCGATATTAACAAAACGAGGATAAGCATATTGTCCAAGAAAAAATAAAGTATTATTATTATTAGCTTATTGACTGGGAGAACAAGCAACGACTTGTAGAGGAACTTAACTAATGTGAAGTCACCTATATAGATATGTACATTTTGATAGCTGTCGACACTGAAAGTGTCCTAATTAGGATATAATGAAATGGCCGAAAACGGAGAACCAGTATGCTTATTAGGTATTGGGCAAGTACAGAAGTAGCCAAAAAGCGAAAATTACAATAGTATTCCTGTTCAAGAATCACAAGTAGCGAGGCCGGTTACAAACTCACGAAATATGCTACTAGAACTCCTTTGGACAAGCTGAAGAACTTCAGTTGTAAGACGTCCAATCCTGGGTTGAAAAAGGGCCGCCGTCCACAACCCATGTCTCGTACGGGCCCGATTTGAGTTGGGGGATAAGTTTGCACGGACTAACGCAGGTACGTGGCTGATAAGAAATGCAGAGTGGCTCCGTCCGCCATGTGTCCTCGCTGCAGTGGGATCTCTTCGATGAGGACGTGCAAGTTGGGCAAACTTTCTGTGCCCGAGCTTACATTTCCAGTCATTTGTTGACGTCTGAATCACCTCATTCATGCGTTGTCGTGAAGAGCCTCAATTACAATTGATGATAAGGCTCGGGTACTGCCATAAATTAGTGTGTTGGCTGCCCTATGTTTCGGGTCGAGAACCGAGACTTCATCAACTCAAAAGCATTGGTGGAGCGGGAGACAAGGTCAAATGATCATGATGCAATCCCTTTGAGACATTTTGGGGGCGGTCTACACCATCTTTAATCTCTTTCTGCGACAGAAAGATACCTGCTCCAATAAGGTCTGCAACTTCCCCCAAGTGTCGTCCAGCCTAGTCTAGAACAGTATGCTGCAGATGGATAAAGAAGCGGATAAACTTAATCAAGTGGGCCGAGTTCGATGACACCAGGAACAAGGCACGAATTGATTCTGAATGGCCCGCTGAAGGGAGACTCATTCACTAGCTTCATACAGTACAGTATTGTAAGATACCGCTTTAGGCGAAAGCAGGAGGTACTGTGGCTATACTCGATTAGAGACCGCCAGATATTGAACCGAGCTTCATAAAAGTTTACGTCTGTGTCGCAGCTGGTACGGGAGGAACTGCTCAAGCTGCCAGGGCCGTTGGATCAGCAATGCGTTGATCTGGTGGAATGCGGAGAACTCGGCAAGTAGAGAAGCTGGAGATTTGTATTAACGATACAAGCGACAACGGCAACATCAGCCTCCGATTTCTGTTCGCCTGTGAGGCATTCATACAAAGGGTAACGCATAACCGGATCAGTGAGAAGCTTATGTCGTTATCTTGATCACCAATCCCAAGTTTCCAGATGTTTTGTTGCTTGGAACGTTTGAGGTCTGTGTTGAGTACAGATCATAGGGTATGAGCTCGTCGGCAGGAGAATTGATGGCGGGGTTCTTGTATATTGACTGGGTTTATTACCAGGTCAAGGGACAGCGTAAAACCGATAGGCGAACTCGGCAGTCACGAACTGATATTTCTGAAAGTCCTCTATGAATGTGATGTAAGCAGGAGGGTGATCCCGTGAGACTCGGGTCCCTTGATAATTTATGATAACAGACTCGCAGTTGAATGCTCTCAAAATCTTCTTATTCTGCAGATTCTCTGTTACTCATAAGTCCAGTTCGTTCTTGAACGGACAAACCCATGACTGGCGGGACTTTCTAAAGCAGGGATGAGATGACATGTCCCTGACTAGCTGGTCTTGTTTATCAGTTTCTCCATCATAAAATCCATGATATCAACAGTCCGTAGGCTTCCCGTACACCGTGGTCGATCATTCTCTGCAAATCATGTTATCTCTACCCCCTATCGGCTCGCGTCGAGATGTCGCTAAGGTTTCAAGAACTCGAATCTTGCGTGTCGTCGACTGTCTCACAGCCAACGAGTTGCCCCTCCACAAAGATCGCTCAGCTGGCAGGTCCATAATTTCCTTCTCCGCAAGGCTGCGACCACGACGGCTACGGCGGGAGTACCTGGCATTCTTTGTGGCAACTTCCCAGCCTGTCAAACCTCATGACCACATCGTGGGTTCATCGTCAAGCCAGTGTCAAGCCTCCCAACCCAGGAGTCAGCTTCCAGCGTTGGAAACACCATACACTATGCTGTTTGCGATATGGTGGCTTGGGTGGGAAGTGGTCTCCAAATGTTGGCCATTACGAAAATATTGACTTGCTCACCGCTTCCTCATGAATCAGGAAACCACCAACAGCCCCCTTATCTTTTGTCAGATTTCGCCCTCTACGAATGATACTATTTCCAATACAACGTAATTTATGATAATGTATAATAATGGCCACACACTGCTTGTATATGCATCTGGTGATGTGAATTTTTCCTGATTTTTTCTCCTGGAATCTCGGTTATTGATCGCTTTTCTACCTGGTCTCTCCGAGGGCAACGTCTGGATGCCCGCATCTAGGCCTGACAGTTGCCGCAGTAGGGTTAGTTGGCAGAGGGAGATGCGTGCCAGGTACACAACTAACGCTCCGCTCGAGCCTTCTCTGGCACAATTTAACCATGTCTAGTGTATGTTCCGTCTTGCAGTCGTGAGCTAGTGCTTGTACGTGTTTGTACCTTTGAGCAAACAGCGCACCAGATGTCCACGTTTTCGGGAATGGCGTCCAAAATGCTGGCCATCTGGATGATTTTGGGATGCTCTACCATCTCGCGATTCGTTCCATGTGAGATAGTCTCCGAGTGAACCCTGACGATTGTGTGATTAGGGCATCAGGAACTGTCCAACTAAAACTCGATTCTTCACCGTCACGTCGTCTGCCACCATGAGCCCTGACCTTTTGCCGGTGTTTGCTCCGCTCTCTGGTAATAAATGATTCAAGATGCTGACATTTACTATTCGGAGTCTGGTGGGGTCTGAGAAGAGCCTGCAGGTCAACTTGTCGCTTGCTGCTCATCCAGCCCCTGGCACGGGCTCACTCCCCCTCGACCTTCGAGCATCGACATGGCTGCGCTGCTTCAACCCCTCCCACCACCACTGCTTCTACGAAGCCTGCTTTGCCTGCCACACCTTCCCACCTTTGCCGTTTCTCTGACACCATCACCCCAAGATTTCCCACAGACCACAAAGTTGAGGCAAGGATATGGCACAGTAGTCTATTCCTTTCCACTTTATCAATCACCGCTCCTGGTCCATGTCTGCCCGGTGCAGCGCGGGTTTGCCCAAGCCGTTCTATAATAGCTACGGTATCTGCACTTTCACATCTTCTCACTCTGTGCGTCTGCAACTGCTGTGTGTTTACATGTGCTGATCTAAGTTGATCTATGGATCACTTGGTTGGGGATATTGTTCCAGCAATACATCGTTCTCCTTTTGACTTCTTCCTCTCGTTGACCATATATCAAGGTCGATTCCAACAGTGATTCGACAGTCAGTTACAGCAATGAGTTGACCTCTACCATTTGGATTTCCTTTTTGATACGAGCTCCCTCAAAGCTATTCACAGACATGAAGGGGACACAGTTAGCTATAGCATGTCTCTTCAACTTGCTTGCGCCGTCGAATGCGCAGCCGGCTCCGAATGCTGGTCCAGTCAACGTACCCGAGCAGAGGAGCGACGGTTCGCCAACACTTGCGCATTCAGTTGTGACCGAGACAACATTTGTTGAAACTTCAATCACAGCAAAAAGAACCTCTCGGTCTTCCACTCCTATCACACAAACCACTACACTCTCCATAATACCGACGTGGACCTCAAACACGATCCGCTCCGATTTTACCTCCTCCGACTCTACCGCAACCACAATACCTAGTGTAGAAGCGGTATCAAATGCCTCTCCCGCCGAATCACCACAAGCGCCAACATCTGGGAATGGAGGAGATGTCAGCCACAGAAATCTTATCATTGTGTTGTCCACAGTGTTGGGCTCTCTAACTTTGATACTGATATCACTTGGAACCTGCCTCGTCGTCAGATATCGAAAGAGTAAATCACCATTCTCTCACCGTGGAGCTTCGCCAATCGACGATGAAGAGATTGCTTCATGGCGTTCTCCGAGCTACGAGCACAAGCAACCAATCCTTCCAGCATACCCAGAACCCGTCCAATATGCTAGCACCATTGGTGTAGCACATCATCATGGCTGGTCGTGGGACTCCGAATCCCCCAGACAACAACAAACATCTCCAAAGCACGCCCATAAGGTTTCGAACTCACCCTCCACAATCATCCCCGAGTCTCCAACCTCAATGGCGCGAGCACCAAATTCTCGAACAGGTTTAACCGATGAAACCAAACCAGGAGCCGAACCATATGTTGCGACTATCAAGCACCAGAGTTCCAGGTTGTCAAAAGCACCAAGTCATATGCGTTCTAAATCCCGCCGAAGCAGTATCAGCGCAAAGAGTGTCTGGTCAAACCATGGCCATAGCACTTCCAACATCAACCTCGACTTCAAACCCAAAGAACGCCAGGGTTCATACCAGCTCTGGTATGATCCAGAGGATGACAGTGTTGGACGAGAACTACGGAACTTTGACCGCAGCAACCATACCAATTCACCGGGTACGTCGGTATTCGATGACACTTCGGCTGGTGGATTGAGTCCAAGACCAGCTAGCCGCCCAAGATTTTGGGAAAGCCAGGCAGAAGACAAAGAAATCGGAAGAGCTATTGCATAGCTCATCAATCCGAAGTAGTTCAGCAGGATGAACATGCTAAAAACTTTTCTTTTATCACTTTACACATACACATACCTGTCGACGAACAACCCGACACTTCTTTCATATGCTTATTATGGCACTTCATTCATACTCATCCTACATTTTGGAGAGCTTTCTTCTTTTGATACGGGCGTGATCGACATACGATCCGCATAGGGTGCATGGAGTTTTAAGGATATTGGTAGCTTACCTTAATGGGGCAACTTTTGGGATATACCTGTATGATGATGGGAGGATGGATTGTATCTTTGTCACTGATACATGTCAGTTCGGTGGGGACATTGCCACTTTGATTGGCGTTTGATATACGAGAGATACATGATGTGATACCCTACTCCTTACATATATACTTGCATAGAGTAGAACTTGAAATGAAAAACAAACATTTTAAAACTACACACTCACTTCCTAATACTTGACTTTAAGTGAAAATCGACCATAGATATATTCACATCCCCTTAGATCTGATCAAGGTGTTCAGGCGTATTTCAATAAACTATAAATCCTTTAGAGACTTGTAAGTTCCACTTATGGCATAGTGTCACTATTGACTTCATGAAAATTTACCATGACTCTATTTTGCGAATTTTCTGCATTCTCAGAACATCCCTACATTACACAATGTACAATCTCACCGTTATACTTTTACAATCTGCTGTACTTCAATAGCTTGTCTCTCCGTATAATCTCGCCTCCTATTCGAAGTCAATCACGTGGACCACTCCCCCAATCGCGTCCACCATCTCACCGCCCAGGCGCGTCTGTCGAATTGCCCAAATCGCATCTCCAACTTTTCATACCCCTCGACAAGAACGTCACTCTTCTCTAGCTCTGGTTCTCACTCATTGCTCCTTCACAGAGTTTTAAAATGCCACCCAAGAAAGTCATCGAAGTGCCCAAGTCAGGTACGGGAGATGAGGCTGCACTACAGAAAGAGCAGCAAGTGAGAGATGGAATTAATATTGAGGTATGTATATTCAATTCTCAGGTCTTATTTGACCAATTTTTTTGTATTTGTAACTAATTGTGTTCCAGGATTTCACACTTCCTAAAAGTATAGTGACGCGACTGGCCAAAGCCGCACTACCACCGAACACACAGATCCAAGGGAATGCTATGTTGGCAATGACGAAGAGCGCAACGGTTTTTGTAAACTATTTAGCGTCGGCGTATGTGACCTCCTATTATGTTTTGGGGCTGCGAATTGACAATCCATAGAGCAAATGAGAATGCGCAACAGAACGGAAAGAAAACATTAGATACCCATGACGTCTTCGCGGCGCTCGACACCCTCGAATTCCCGGACTGGAGAGAGAGATTAGAGGCTGAGCTTGCTAGTACGTCTTCCTCTCCCTATCCTCTATCCATGTGCTAATTGCAGTTTTTCAGAATACAAGGAAATCACAGCGGACAAACGGTCGAAAGCTAAGAAAACAGCCGCGGACAAGTCAGAAGATACGCAGGATGGACAGGACGGACAGCCGGTAGCTAAGAAAGTGAGGTTGGATGGGCAGGGCCAGGTTGAGGAGAAGACTGAGGGCGCGGAAAATACGGCCGATGAGGCGGGGAATACTGCTGATGAGGAGGGGAGTGGTGAGGAAGCAGAAGAGGAGGAGGAGGAGGAAGAGGAGGGGGAAAAAGAGGGCGAAGAGGTGGAAGATCCGCAAGCTACGGAGGTGGAGGACGAAGCGTTGGATAATGGTGAGGACAGTGATTAAAGGGTTTGGGGATATCAGGAGTTCGGTTGGGTTAGGCATTGGGCGGAGTTTTGGGCTTGAATTGAGGTTGGGATATGGGCGTTTGCCCTGTCATCACTATGGTGAAAATTTCGAGCTGGAATTTAGGGGTTTTAGGACATGTGAGATTTAAGCTGGTGTCCAATATGGATGGTCAAAAGAATACCTGCTTCACCCCCGTTCTAGTCTGGCCAGAAACGCGAGCCTAAAAGACTTTGGAAATTGCTCTGGTTCCATTATAGGTAGTAACTCTAGAAATCTCTCCTTCTTGATACGCCTAAGCTAATTAGTTGATTAGAAAATAACTGAAATAAATTAGCATCGGCTTTGTCATCTTTGATATGTACTCGAAAATAGGGCGTCTCTGGTACGCCCGGTATAACTCAGCAGCAGCCTTACTCTTTCTATTCTTCAGAGTCGGGCGGAGACAACACACCCTATATTGAATCGCGAACGCCCATGTCAGCACCAATAATACCCTTGGCAAAAGCCCCACATCTTTCCGTAAGTCCTTGTTCTTAATGGTTACTATTCTCAATAACTTCCAGTCGAATTTTCCCCTTCCTCAAACCAAAAGTTTCACAACACAGCGAGTATGTTCTCTACACGCTTTTTCATCAAGCCCTGTTATAATAGACCTTATGTCCGGACTCAGTCAACTATTTCAGTACGAACGGTCAAGGCCCGGTCTCTAGGTCTCGGTTCAGCAGCTACTGCTATTGGTACTTTGGCAGTAACTTGGTATGGCGGAAAATACTACTTGAACGAACGGCCAAAAGCTGCAAATGTGCAAAGGCTCAGTAATCTACCTAGTATCGACCCCGAGAGCAAGTATCCCTTCCAGTTTCTTGCCCCTCCTACGCCGGCCGAAGTAACCAAGATATTGAACCAAAACACCTGGTCTTTCACCAACATTAGCGTCCCTGGTGTTTCTCGATGTGATGGGGCACAGATCCCCGCAAATGGATTAATTGAAGACCGTTTTCTCTACGGGATCTTCCCGTCGCCATTCCAGAAAGACGGAGGAGCTCTTGAGAAGGACTGGCTAGCCCTGGGGGTATTCGATGGCCACTCCGGCAGCCAGACTTCAGAAGCAGTGTCTACATCCATCCTACCATACGTGTATAACAGCCTCCGCAAGCTGACGCGTTCCGCAAATGGCACCTCAATAGACAAGGCCATTATGGACGGCTTCCTCGCACTAGACGACGTCTTCATAGGGCAAATCCAACAGAAAATGAACAGCAAAGCCTCATTCGCCGAGAAAGTCCTACGTCTAGCTCCCGGATTCAACGGATCCTGTGCCCTACTCGCGCTTTTCGACCCCTCTACTCGTACTCTGCGCGTTGCTTGCACAGGCGACTCTCGCGCGGTCCTAGGCTACCAGACCGCCGAAGGGAAATGGGAAACACGGCCTTTGTCAGTGGACCAAAACGTCAAGAACGCCGCCGAGGTAGAACGTGTCCGCTGCGAACACCCCAATGAAGAGAACCTGATCAGAGAAAGCTATTACATGGGTTACGAACCCACGCGCGTCTTCGGCGACGGCAAATCGAAGTGGCCGCTTGAGCTGAGCAACGAGGCTAAGGAGCGCTTTAACGCTGGCCATGCACAGAAACCAGAGAGATACAAGACGCCTCCGTATCACACGGCACGACCAGAAGTAGTGACCACGCAGTTAGAGAAGGGACGCCCGGCGTTTATGATCCTCGCGTCGGATGGGGTGTGGGATACCATGTCCAGCGAGCAGGGCGTGGCGCTCGTGGGAAGATGGGTGGATTGGGTGAAGGCTGGGAAGCCAGCTCAGAAAGAAGTCAGTGAGTTCGGAGAGTTCGATCTTAAGGAGGAGGGAGCGCTGGATTTTAAGGAGGCGAAGACGACGGTGCAGGATGAGAATGTGGGGGTTCATCTGATTAGGAATGCGTTGGGAGGGGCGCATCATGATATGGTTAGTGGGTTGTTGTCTTTTAAGCCGCCGTTTGCCAGGAAGGTTAGGGATGATATGACGGTGCAGGTTGTTTTCTTTGATTGATAATATGAGTTGATCGATATGTTGAGAATTGTGTAGCTTAACAAACCAATTAACAAGCCAATGATAACCTCGAATATGCTTCGTACTAGCGTGCGAGGTACTGTCATGCGCCACAATAATTGAAGCAGGTTTTTTTTTTAAACAGTAATTACTCTATTATATTACAGTCTATTACATCTACTCTATTACATCTAGACAACTCCCCATATGCGCTCCCAGCCATGCTACCAGCATTTCGAGCCCGAACGCCATATAGAAAAACAAACAATATCATGATCTACAAATCATGTCTCGCTCTCTTACTCTTCAACCGAATCTGCTTTCCATACTTCCACAGCACAAACGGAATCGGAATGAACGCAATACTCAAGAACCCAAGCGTACTACTCGCCCAGTTCGTTCCAAGATTTCTATACATAGCATTCGCAAACAGAGGGAAGCCAGCACCGAAGGCACTTCGCATGAAATCGTTTCCGGCAAACACACTAGCGGCATACTCAGGGTATGCGTCACCGAGATAGTTCAAGACGGAATTGAAGAGGAGGAATGCACCAATGGAGAAGAATGAAGAGCCGATGATGGGAACGATCCAGTGGATGCTTGCGCGAGATGTCCAACCGAACCAGAAGAGGCAGATAGGGATGCAGAAAGCGCCTACGCAAGCTGGAGGCAGACGTTTCTCTGGTGCGATTTCGCCGTTTTCGTCGAATTGTGGTTCTTGTACCTTGTAGAGGTAGAGGAAGAATGGCGGGATGACGGCGAAACCACCGATGAGGATACCCAAGAATGAGAGACCTTCTTCGCCCAGGTTGAAGCCGTAGACTTCGATGAAGACGATGGCGAAGGATTCGAACCAGACGTAGAGGAGACCATAAATCAAGGCAATGTACAAGTTGAGGGCGAAGAGAATTGGTTCGGTGAATGTGAGTGAGAATGGTCGGACGAGGACCATGAGAGCGATATCCTTAGGCGACATCTGTTCTGACATGAGCTCCGGTTCACATTTAAGGTCGGTGCGTCCTGTGAGTTTGCGAAGACGGCGGGAACGGCGGTAGAGGATGTTGGCGGAGGAGGTCTCTGGGAGGAAGAAGATCATAAGGATAAGTGCGAAGCCGGAAAGCCAAAGAAGTTCCCAGATTGTCCACGTCCATCCTTTGTGTTGAGCTGCGAATCCACCAATGAGTGGTCCAAGAACTGGTCCAGAAACAGCTGCGATACCCCAGATTCCAATGGCATATGCTCGTTTAGATGGTTTGTAAATATCTGACAGAGAAGCACCACCAGTCGCAAGAACAGGAGAGCCGAAAAACCCGGTCAAGAATCGGAAGGCGAGCAACATGCCGAAGTTGGTGGCATAGATGACAGCGAATTGAAGGAATACGAAGACGAACAGAGTTCCGACGTAGATTGGCATTCGACCAATCTGAGGAATCTCTGATAGTGGTGACCAAATCATGGGGCCAAGACCATAACCAGCGACGAACAAACACAAACCTAATGTTGCAGCGACTTGGCTAACGCCAAATTGTTGTTCCACGCCCATAATACCAGCGGAGTAGATGGCAGATCCGATATAAACGGAGAAAGTAAGGAAACAGATGAGGAAGGTGACGAAGAATTTCTTTCCAGTACCCCAGTTTTGAGGATTCTATGAATCGTTAGTACAGCTGGTGTAGAATAGCACTATCACTTACCTCTGGATCGTTCGGTCCATACCATGTCACGATAGTTACATCTCGACCCTTTTCGGGGTCTACAGGAACACCGCTAACCTCGTTTCTGTTCTGGTCATTGCTTCCTACCCTCGTCTCGGAGCTGCTACGGGTTTGGTTGTCCGGCTGTAGGACGCCTGACTGAGGTTCGGAATTATTTCTGTTGCTATTTGACTCTTCGTTCTCCTCGTTCTTTTCTTCCTCACCGACGTAACCGTGATGTGCCTGTGAACAAAGTTAGAACAAAGTAAATGAAATGACTATATTTGTAACATACCATCTGGCCGGACTTTTCCTTATTGACATATGTCTTCCATAACGAAGGATCCCTCTCTTCTTCGAATCCCAAGAACTTCTTCCCACCCGCCACTCGAACCACTTTGCCAAACGTAGTATCCCTGATCAATTCCTTCATATTGGCGTATTGTGAGGAAAATATGAGGTTGTAAAAGAGTCGAGTCAACAATCAAACAGGGGACAACAACATTAAGTAGGTCGACCTGACTTAGTCCATTCAAAAATGCTCAACGTCGATATCATCATACCAGCGCTTGGCACACCAAATATCCATCTAGCCCTCCCCAAACCCCGTGTCAAAAGCTCCTTTCGGACATCCACGGACCCCTTTCATTCTCCGATTCCCATATTTTCAATGCGATTCAAAAAGTAGGGTATGATATCACCGTCAGATTTTCGGTAGTCGTTGAAGGTTTAAGACATGCTTGGCTGTCATAGGTTGAGAAAGACTGCTTGTTCCGCGCTAGGTCGAGTCTTGACATCACCAAGGGGCCGTCCCCTTTTTGGCAACGCTTAAGTAATCCTCCCAATTGCTAGCGCGATCTGAATAGGTGAGATTTCGGCAGCTCTAATATAGTAGCGGCATATCCGCTTTTCGGCCGATTCGCCGTGTGCGTTGAGTTGATGTTCAATGCTGATCGAAACGTGGTCTTGGGATCGGACGTCATGCCCATTAGCGGTAAGCTTAAATGTCTAGACCCTTAAGACAACAGAAACTACCAAAAGCCACAGATGATCGAGTTTTCAATTTGCATTCGGTGTTAATACAAGCTTCAAATGTATGGTGGCTGACATTGGCTTTATTCGGCCGCAGGGGGGATGTTAGTCCACAAGTACTGCCTCGTGAGCAGTGACAGCATTATCGGCAAGCGACCAGAAAGTTTGATGACATTTCCAGGTCAACAATCAAATTTGGAAATGCTGTTCAACATCAATGTCTGGGTATTTAAAATAAGCACTCTAGTGATAACTGAGCAGTTCAGCCAATGACCGCCGTAGAGTACAAGTCCAGAACCTCCCCAGAGTTTGGGAAGATCCATACAAAAAAGACGCCGTTTGCAGTGGGTTATTCGGTGATCCTGATGAAGCCCATGAACCTTGAACGCCAATAATGCCTCCTCTCAATCATACATCCTGCGCCTGATCTCTCCGCCAATATCGATATGTGTACCCGTAGCACCGCTGCCTCTATCGCCATTTGCTCTTTGCAGCATCTTCCATTCCTCTTCGTTTTGTATCTCTTACAAACGATCCCGTTTCTCAAAGCCCATGATTAGGCACCTCACTTCCCTTCTTCTCACCCCCCTCAGTCGCTTCCTCCGCAGCCTTCAACTTAACCTCAATAGTTTTCTTCCCCATAATCTCCTTCAACTTCCCAGACAATGCCTTCTTCTCATCCAAATCCGCAACATCATCTCCACCTCCAATGCTGACCCCATTAACCAACACATTCGGCACGGTTCTCCTGCCTGTCAGATCCGCAAGTCTGGCTTGCAAACCCAATCCAAGCTCATGTTTGTCCAATTCCACAACATAAGGCGCAGGGGTGATTTCGTATTTCTCTAGAAGTATGCGCTTCGCACGCATTGAATGCGGACAGTATGATTTCGAGAATATAATAACTATTCCAATTAGCCAAATCCACCTCCGGAAAACGGGAAAACCTACTCGGCGCCCTCTTCAAAATACTATTCAACTCCACCTCAACATCATGATCCTCCTCACTCTCCTTCACCCCCTCCACCTTCTCCTTCCTCCTCCCCGCACTCCCCACCACGCCCCTGCCCTCACTCGCACTCCCGACCCCCTCAATATCCCCCGGGGCATCGGGTTTCGGGGCCTTCTTATTCGCCTTATCCTTCGCCAGCTTGGCCGCATCCCTCAGTCTCGCCGTCCTCGCCTTGACCTCCTCATCATCCTCATCCACGACCTTCTGCGCACCCCCTTTCACATCTTTCGGCAGCGCATTCACCGTTTTACTGTAGAAGTCGCCTGCGGTGCGGAGATCGCGTGGGCGCGAAGACCGCGCGGATGCGGTGTAGTAGAGGACTGTGACGGTGAAGCAGAGGACGAGGAGTCCGAAGACGCGCATGCGACGCGCGGAGGGCATTTTTTAAGCGTTTAAATCCAGATGCGTTGGGTTGAGGAAGGTTTGAGATGGGGATGTGGTAGGTGTGGCTTCAGGAGAGTCTGGTGGACGTGCAACTTTTGGTGGCTCACTCGCTTCCGTGGCGGGTGTACATACCCTGGCCGTCTGGTCCCTCCCTCTCTATGTCGGCCCTTCCCGTTACGACCACTACAGCTTTTCTCATGTCGCACTTAAATAAACTAAGACCTCTCTGTATTCTAAGAAGCTACTCTGATCGTACTACCCACAAACCTAAAGCTCAAGAGCTAGTCATTAACTTGTTGAGCGAGTACACCTCAAAGCTTCAACGCAAGTATTGCTAAGAGGTAGGACTACCTAAGAAGTCGAATTCTTACGTCTTGGGAAGTACAATTTGGATTCTCATCAAACTTGACTACTAAGGATACGAACTCCATCTTGGTATCTCATTGGAAGGTACGAACCCAGCACTAAGATAATCAAGCTCAGCAGTTCCTCCAGGAAATACTAAACCCCATCTCAACTTTCTTTTTTTTTACTGCTAACCCTTCACTTCTCCTAATAACCAGTAGGAAAAGGTCAAATATGGATTCGTATGGTAATATCTTATCCTTATACATACCGTCGACAAAAGATCTCAAATTCTAAAGTCTCCTCCCCAAAACCCTCACTTTATAAACAGACTCAACACCACAAAACCCGCTCGAGACACTTAAATCCCATTACTAACTCTGCTCTCAGAATCTACAAATACACCTGCTCTTCGAATCTAAAACTACACATCCCTCCTACCACTACCACCACTGCCACACCGCTCACCCTTCAACTCATCCATCCCAACTCAACACAACACATAGCCCCCCATAACCCTCTCCACACACCCTCTCGCCTCCGTCCACCGATCCGACATCGTACACCCCCTCTTCCGACAAAACGCCTTCCAGACCACACTCTGCAAACTAGCATAACTCATAATATTCCCCAGCTCAAACTCATTCATCTCATCGAGGCCCTTTTGGAGTTCTGATTTAGCCCAGAGATCCGGACGATGGGGGTTCTTTGAACCAGCGAGGAAGACGTATGCAAAATATGGACCTTGAATGAAATTCAGCGAGACTGGAAGTAAGGGAGAAGAGGAGAGGAGAGGTTACCGTATCGCTGCATCCGATCTTCGAACACACACATACACTCCCTCAGCCAATTCTCGCCTATTTGATCACCTCCCACCCCAACATCCCCAACAAACCCACCCATACTCGCCCTCATAACCTTCAAATCTTTCCTCGGTCCCCCAACTTTCCCGGTGATATTCAGAAAACCCTGTCCCACAACCTCCACAAGACAACACAAAACCGCCGTCTCACACGCACTCAACCCCTCCAAAAACCTCGCTTGCTGATTCCTTATGCTCGCCATCTCGACCTGCCCCGCCGTACAATCCGAAAGTTGGAACAGCAGCAAAAAGCCGTGTTGTTTAAACATCTTTTCCCTCACCAGTCGTTCAACCTTCGGTACGTGCTCGGGCAGACGCGGCCAGCCACCAGTGTCGTCGGTCATGGATGTGATTTCGTGGGCGCATAGGTATTCGATTATGGAATGCCGCGTCCGCATCTCGTTGTACCAGATATACGAGGGTGCTCTGCGGATGATAGTGTCTTTAGGGGGCGCGCGACAGCCGAGGATGTGGGATTGGGCGGAGTTGGTGAAGAGGAGACGCGGGTCGTGGGTGGTGTTTGCGAGGGTTATAGAGCGTTCGTAGGTTTGGAGGAGGGAGTTGAATGGCTGTGTCAAAAACGAGAACAGTTAGTCTACTACTTCTCTTGAGTAAGTCATACGCATAGCTACATACCCTCGACAACCTCATCAATTCCCCCACACATCTCGAATCCTCCCCAACCACGAACTCCACAATCCGTAACACTATCTCCACAGGCAATTCTCTCCCCTTATCCGTCCTTAACAAATACGAATCGCCCATACCAGCGAGGCAAGCTTGCAATGTAAATATACGATGAGGATAGTAAAGTAATGCTGGGGTGGGACAGAGTCTGGATATGTGGTATTAGCTGTGAGTCCAAATATTGCAGATATGAATGTACTTACGAGGGACATGGTAACTCTGGGGATGTGTCGAGGAGATCGTGGGTCGTGACTCCCTGGAGATGGCTCCATGAGTAGGTGGGTTTCATGATTGGGGTTTGAACTGTGAGGGGGAAGGGACGATGAGGAATGTGAGAAGGAGAGAAACATGAAAATTGTAATACTATAAGTTTCTATGATTACCTTGATGGCCACTTTTTATATCTATACTGTATGATTCCCATGGTGTCGTTGATCGGACGTGAATACTGCCCCTCCATGATGGATACCCGGATGGATAGAGGGGTTCATGAGGCTCAAATAAGACCCAGAAACCCGGATGGTGCATCTTAAGCACCTTGTTAGATAAGCAGCACATTCATTCACTCCTAAAATTCAGTTTAGTGGTGTTGGATAGCAAGTTCTAAGGTGTGTGTACCTGCATTGACTGTTGATGTGGCTAAGCGAGCACACATCGGACCTCTGAAAGGTGTCTATTTTGACGAACTAATGCCTCAAATGAACAGCTCGATGACAAGATGTTGGAAGTCCGAAAAGAATACATACTGCTTCTAACTCTTTGAAAAGACTTCATTGTTGCTGCATATTCGAGTAAGATAGATTCGACAAGAGCGCAAATATGTGAGCGACATACCGTCACAAAAGGCGGCAATAAATACTTTCTGTTTAGCATGCTGGACAACACTCAAAGGATAACTCGAAGCCGCGTGTTCAACCCATTATCATTCCAAGTCTCAAGCACGTATGCTAGAAAGGTCTCTTATCATAACTCATGACTCCGTCCGACTCATAACCATCCTAACCTCCATACCCTATGCCGTATCCATCCAATACCCAGCGCTATGCACCAAAGCCAACCAGTAAAGAAAAATGCGTACCCAAATGCCAAACCCACCGCATTAACCTAATATCCATCTCATAAAGTCCAACCCCCCCTATCCAGAACCCTCAATTCAAGATGCGTTCCTCAGGCGGTCTCCACGGGACACCCAACCTCTCAAAAATCCCCCTTTCATCCAACCCCTTAATAAGCGTCCCCTCTGTCAACTTCACCCTCCCCTTCCCCCTCATACAATGCTCATACAAGCCCCTCTGATTCAACCTCATATCATATTTACTAGCCAACAACCTCAGACTGCGATTGAAAATATCATCACCCGTAAAATAGATAAGCGCGGCGCCCCATTCTGAGGCCGGTACGAGTAAGAGGTCGATGCGTCGCCAGATGGGGTTGTCAGGAAGTTTACACGCCCCATGCCATTTACTGCCAGCGTCTGCGGAGCGGTAGGATGGGACGGCGAGGGCGGCGACTAGGAAGCCGGTGTTTTGGAGGTAAGTGACAAGGGAGTGGAGGAATGGGAGGAGTTCCAATGTCGATGTTGTGCCGGGTTTCGTAAGCATGAAATCGATATCTCCTGATGTCTTTGCACCTCGTCGGTAACTTCCTCCCATAGTTGCTTCAACTTTGGGATCGATTTTGGCGACGGCTTGCTTGACAATGTCACCGAGAGCATGCATTTCCTCGCGAGGTATTCGGATGTTGAAGTCTTCGTAGTGCGCGATTCCAATTTTTTGGTTCTCGGTTAGGGGCACATTGGCAACAAGGTCTTCGAGGGTTTTATGACCTTGATCGACCCATTTGTCCGCTTGACTTGCGCCGACACCGTAAATCTTCATGAACTTCTGAACAATCGAGTCTCGGCCATCAAGTTTCGTGTATTCTAGCTTTGCAAGCCTCCCTCGTCGGTGAAACTCAACAATCTTTGTCGCTAAGGAATGTCCAATCCCAAATATCTCCCTCGCTTCATCATAATCTGTAATCTTTCTCGTTTGCGACCTCAAAGCTGTGGCTCCTTTCCGGTATGACATATTCCGAAACGTATCTCGAATGCGTTCATAGAAGGCTGCCAGCTCCAAAAAAGCGTTGATACAGTCATCGTTTGGATTCTTGCCGGATGCGGACCCTGTTCCGCCTTTCATACAACTGAAATTATCCTTGTGAAGTCCTCCTTGCCTACTTCTCGGTCTCTTTTTGGATTTGGCAACCGCTTTCGCTTGGGAAGCTTCTCGCTCTGAATCCGAATCCTCAGAATTGTCTGGTCCTAGCCTTGAATCCGACTCTTCATCATCTAGAGCAACGAATCGAGTGTTGCGAGCTATATTGATCACTTCGTTGAATTCCGTTCCAAAATCGGCATATTTTCGAGGCGGTGGATTATCTATCACCTCCGTGCCATCCGACGTGTTGTTGAGCGCTTTTGGTAAACTCTCTGAAGGGGATGTCTCTTGCGTTGCCTCCTCGACAACGGGTGTTCCAGGTCGTTCCTCACTATCCTCCTTAGGTAATCTAACGTCGACCAAATTTCCTGCCTTTGGATTCAAAATTGGAGGCTGTTCTTTTTGTCCAAGCACAGACTCACTCCCTTCGACCATATACAGTTTCTGATCCGGAGGAACAAGAAAGCGATGCTCGATACATTCCAAAGGATAAAGCTCATTAACCAACATCATATCCTCCGGAATTCCATCTACGTTGAAAGAGGACTTCATATAAGCCAACACGTCCTGATACTTGAGGTTCTTGTCGACCACAACATGCGTAACCCCTGTCCCAAACTCCTGAGTCCAAGTAGCGCCATATTTCCTAGCTTTGTCGATTCTGAATTTTCGAGCACTGGCAATTGCATCATTCGGAATATAAAAGAATGTTTTATCCTGAAATATTCTCTGATTCTCTGGGACGAGTTTGATATCAGATACCCTCGATGACTTCTTGCTCTTCTCTGCAACAGCTTCCCCAATTCGTTTTCGTTTCACGTTTCTCTGCAACATTGTCGTGATTCCCGTGCTATTTTTCAAGACCAGAGAACCTCGTGCCGGATCTGATACAGAGCGGTGTTCTATATCCGGACGACGTTGACCTTCTGTGGTAATTAGCGTTGGGTTTCGAGAAGGAAAGTTGATCCCGTTGAATGATGTATCTACGGAAGGCGGGGTAGAGATATCGTAACGAAGCAAGGAGTTTTTCCGGACCAAAGGTGTTTCCTTGACGATACTGCTAGCCGGTGTTGGTTCCGAAAGAGTTCGTTGAATTCCAGGTATCTTCTTTATCGGTCCTTTTGGTGTTGTTCTTCGTGGCGCGGGAGCTGGTGAGGGAGACAGGACAGATGGTGAAGCCGGATTGAGAGGTTGCTGAAAGAAGCTCCTCACTTCATTTGTGTCTTCAGCTTCATCAGGGCTGCTGTCAATCAAGGCATACAGTTTGTCAAAGTACTCTGCCTTGGACAATGAGTCCTGCGTCAACATCAGTTTTGCGCGTTTGACCCGGTTCAATTATTTAACAAACCATCCTTGCGACAGCGAGCGCGAAGCCCTTGATATATCCCGTTGCATACCAACCGAGATATCACAAGTACAAATGGTAGCCTTGGGTGTGGTGAAGTGAAGGCAACATCACACTTATGTTGTCGTGAGTTTGTCGTGGAGGAGGTGGACGAAAATAGCTCGAGAAATCTAGGCAAGGGTTGCCTACACAACGAGTGTAATCATCAACATAATGGACGACAACCATCCCAACCAGATGTCTTCACATTATTAGTGTGCGACATGAGAGCAAACCAGCAACACACCTAGATTTCACAAATCAAATCTATTACTCTTGAATTGCCTCAGCTTTGCGACTCGAGGTTCATAATCACACTGTATTCCTCCACCAGCAGGCAATAAGTGCTCTGTAATAGAATCCTACAAATAGTCGCACAACGAGAAATATACGAAGCTTGAAGTAGAGAGAACCAGATGAAATACACATTACATCTTCATCAGGATGAATCATCAACAATAAAAACCTCCCTCACAACATTCAACCCCTTCAAATCCTCCTTCCACCCCAGAACCATCCCATCCCCCATCATCCTCCCCCCCAAGCCCAAAACCCTCCTTCCCCCCAACTTGGCCCAACCATCCTCCCAAAAAAACCATCTCATCGGAGCAAAACCCCCGAAAACCCCCAAAATCAAAAACATTTGTTGCATCTCGCACTCGGATTCCAGCGCCGAACGGCCTTTGGCTCCGAAGCGCTAGCATCCAAGGGAATACCAAGCCCTCGCGAAAATATACACCACGAGAGCATTTTGCGCTGATCGGTGTGGGCGGAGGTTGGATCCGTGGGCACGGGTGCGCGTTTTGCGCTGGACGATGATATGGAGTTGGGCGGCTGATGCGGGTTTGATGTATTTGATGTATTGATTTTTCTTGATTATTTTGGATGGCGGGAGGATTCAGGTTGGGGGAGGGGGGGAGGTGACAGATTTGACCGATTTACTACTATATCCTGAAGTAATCTTAGTAACCGCTATGCGTTTCTTTGCTTTTATGAGTTTTATCGAATGTATTTACTATTTGTTAGATGATTCGAGATGCATTTTAGATATATTTTATTTAAAAAGGCTTACAAATATATCTCTAACATCCACGCGTTGTTTCCCGTCAATAACCTCAAACGACCAGTACTCCTACAAAGCTTCTGACTTTCCGTCCTCATCTACATTTTCCCACCACGCATTTAAATCCCACCACTATAGCCTTCCCATCTTTACACACTTACCTACCTTATCTAGTACCCTAACGACATTTTTCTGACACCAACGTGCCTTATAGCCAGTGCATATTCGCACAAGGAGGTCTGAGCGATTAAGACTCAATACTTAGGTCGCTCAACCTCGCTTTCTACTTCAAAATTAAATAAAAACCATCCTTTTGATTCAGATACCCAGTAAGTCTATGATCTACGAAGCTCGTCCCCGAAAGGGTGGTGTCAAAAAACTGTCTTTATTGCACTAGAGGAGCTAACGCATTTCTTGGATTTAACTACGCTCAGAGTAGACAAGTCGTCGAACACAAGCTCGATCTGCTTCTGACAGACCAGCTGATGTACATTATACTTCAACAACCATCCATCCACCTATCTCTCCCACAGCCTCGTCAACAGAACCAACCAATCCATCGAACCGGCATAAACCTGTGCGAGGCTTACATTTCTTTAGAGTCTTACACGATCTCTAACTACATTCACAATCTCATTTGAAGTATTCCTTCGGGGAGACGTGGTCCACGGATCGCGATAGCTTTCACAGAAAATGAAAGATGTTTGGTCAAGAGGGTAAGTCTGCCAAATGACCTTCTTGAGTTCACAGTTGTTGTTCTACGAGTATTTGCAAGCTGTTCAATGACAATAGCACGATAGCACCTAGAAGCTATCATCAAACAGATTAACATTCATATAACCACGCTACGACATCCACCACGGCATGCACCAAAGGCTATTCCATCCTATCATCACCGCTAATCCTCCACCCACCTCAACTCGCAAATAAAAAAGCTCAAGCTTAGTAAGAGAGCCATACACTCTCATCAAGCACAGCACAGCACATCAGACCAAAAATTAATATTCAACCACTCAAATTATCCAGCTACATAAAAACTATACACGCACGCTCCCTCTAATAAAAAACCCAGACCTCGGACCTTTCCTTCCTGCATAACAAATGATGTGGGGGTATAGGATTGAGGGGTATGGAAGAATTTGTCTGATCTTGCTCCATAACTTATTCATCAGGTAGAAATGAAGGACGGGATGAAAATATTACAACGTGTGATCTATAAACAAGATAATCCTAACCCCTCCTACACATCAAATCTTATTAGGCAAGTGAAAAAAGTCCTAGATCTGGCCGAGGCACGCAAAAGCAAAAGGGGATATAATGCCGTAAATTTTTCATGCCTTTGTCATGCGCTAAACACAGGAAGAGATAGATGCTATATGTGTGTGCTTAAGCTTCGATATCTCGCGCGATGGGGGAATCGTGGTGGGGTTTCTCGTGGAGTTCGCCTTCGCGTGGGTGGCTGCCGGAGTATTTGCTGTCGGCGTCGGACATGTCGTTGAGGACTTCACGGGTAAGCTCAACGTAATCGTAGGCAAACTCGCCGATCTCAGCGTCGTCGATACCGAGAATCTCAGCTTCCTCGGTGGCGCGGAGGGTGAGACCTGGGATGAGGTTCATGATGAAGAGGATGAGGCAGGTTCCGAAGAAAGAGTATGCGCCTCCAGAGACGGAATCAGCGAGTTGGTAACCGAGTTGAACCCAGTGCTTGTTGACCCATCCACCTGGAATCTCGGAGAAACCATCGAGATGAGCAATGTAGTCGGATGCGAAGAAAGCAGTGAGGATGTTTCCGATGAAACCACCAACAGCGTGCTCAGCGAAGATATCGAGAGCATCATCAACACCAATGAGGAACTTGAGCTTGGTGGCATAGTTGGCACCTGCGGCACCGACAACACCGTAGATGATGGCAGCCCATGCTGGAACGAAACCGGAACCTGGAGTGATGGCGACCAATCCGGCAATGACACCTGAGCAGAAACCAACGGTAGACCACTTGCGCTCAAGACGGTAATCAAGAACACACCAGGTGATACCACCAACACACGCAGCCAAGTTGGTAACCACTGCGGCCATGACAGCGCGCATGTTGGCAGCGAGAGCTGAACCGGCATTGAAGCCAAACCATCCAACCCATAGGAAGACGGTACCGATGACAATGTGTGTTACGTTGTGTGGGCGATAGTTCAATCTAATTTTCACGTCAGCGCTGTCCTAATTTGGGGTCGATTTACGGCCTTTCGGATGTAAAGCTGTACAAACACACAAGCTCGGCGCGAAGGATGAGAATGCAGGAAAACTTACTCATGAGTTCCGTGTCCACGACGCTTGCCCAACATAATGGAGTATGCGAGAGCGGCGCATCCCGATGAGATATGCACTGGGGTTCCACCGGCGAAATCAAGTCCACCCATCTTGAAAACCCACCCGGAGGCGTTCCAGGTCCAGCAAGCAATTGGATCATAGATGAGGGTTGACCAAACGAACATGAAGACAATGGTTGGAAGCATGCGACCACGTTCAGCTACGGCGCCGATGGCGAGAGCTACGGTGATGGCCGCGAACATTCCCTGGTAGACGGCGAACATGAGATCCGGGATCTTTGGGGAACCAACGGATGGTGCGCCCAAGACATTTCGGAAACCAATGTTCTCCAAGTCACCAATGTACTTTCCAGCGGTGTGCGAGAATGCGAGTGAGTAGCCCCAGAAGAACCATTGGACAGATACAACGGCTGTCGCCATAATGGAGAGCCAGATGAGAGACAGGGCCGACTTTCGTCGCGCAAGACCTGAATAGAAGAAACTGTACGCGAATGGTTAGCTTTTTTGAGCGTACAAACACGTTGTTGCTGCACTTACCCGACACCTGGAATCATGAGCAAGACCAACGCGGTCGCTGTGATCATCCATGCGATATCTCCAGCCTGAATCGATTCTCGTCAGTCAAGTTGCGCAAATGGGTTCTTGGATCGCGGTCCTACTCACATTGTAGAACAAGTTCATGTCCTCGGTCAAGGAATCTCCTCCAGCGGCGTTGGAGCCATTGTAGGCCACCAACGGCACATAGTTAAGATGATCTGGATCGACACTCATGATGATAATTAGATGCTCGTCGGAGCGATTATTGGTGTGTTGGAGATGTAGGTAGTCGAGATAATTAAAACGGTTAAAGCTGCCAGATCGAGCCCTCTGGTCGGTAGGACTTGCAAATCACTCAAGATGTGCAAAAAGGAATGAATGAAGGTGAAGATGCAGTCGACGTTAAGAACTCTTCTTGGCGAGGAGACGTAGAGTGTCGTCCAGCTCGTGGAAGGGGGAAGCTTGCGTATAAGAAGTGATCTGAGCAAATGGGAGGACCAGACTTGGCGAATGGAGCTGGGGTTCTCGTTTCGGGCGAAGTGAAAGTGGTGCGGGTTGGTCTGACCGGGATCGGTGGGAGGGTGTGGAATAATTGGAAGGGAAGATGAGCTGCAGCTGCAGGTCTGGACAGGCGACAGGGTTGAGAGGAGGTTAAAGGTGGGATTATTCGATTTGGCCTGAGGGTGTGTGTGGAGTTGAGTAACTGCAAGGGCCGAGAGTGCGTATATCAGCCTTTTCTGAAGCCAAGACGTTGCGCATGAAGTTGTCAGTTGAAGAGTGGCTTGAGCTGTCTTGACCTGTCAACTCGGTGTTGTGATGAAGTCGAGCAAAGCTGGGGTAGTTGCAGCTCTGAAACTTGGGGTAGAAGGTCGATGTTGAAAAGAGGAAAAGGAAAACGAAAAAATGTTGAGGGTTGAGGATGGACGAGCGACAGACGAGGACTTCGCTTTTGATTTTGATATGGCTGTGATTGTACTTTGTTATCTTGATATTGTATCTTGTTATCTCGCTTCTTCTACAATGCTATCTCGATTGGGATGGCTTCAAAGCTAAAATGTCAACTGTTGGTGAATGACAGCGGGATCTGGTGTTGCGAGCCACAAACAGATATACACCAGCGTGGACACCCGATCTGTGGCCAGTACTCCGTGCTAGTTGTTTAGATATAACCTAAATTGTAGACACATATGGAGGGTTAGAGCCGGAGGTGTAGAAGTGGTTCTTGGTTTCAACCCAGATGCCCAAACGTGAAGGCGCATTCGGGGCCAGAACCGTCAGTCCAACATCACTCGACCGGCTGTATATTTTTGCTTTTGCTGCTTTCTTGCTTCTGACCGTTTCACTGTCTCCAATATGAGAGTCTTTGCCATTGACTGGATGGGCTCGTAGCATATTCACACCTATCACTGCTCGCGTGCGTATGCTTTCGCCCGATCAAGCAATGTCAGCGAAGCACTCTTTGCTTATTTGACTGCTTCCATTGTTCTAGCGTGCCAATTATGTGGACGTTCATACCCACACGCACCAAGCAGATACTCCTAGTCAATTACAACCCAGGTCCCGAATTCAGCTGCAGGTTCATCTCCTTCCTGCAATGCTGGCAACATCATTGCAAGCGACGACCTGTTGATCTCCTGGGTGTTGGGTAACGATGTTGGTCTAATTTGTGGTGTGCCAGCATCAATGACAGGCCCGACCCACAAGCCGAAAGCTAGAGACAGCCACGGCCACTTGTGCAAGGGCATCGTGCCATCCCTGACGAACTCGACGTGAAAAACATGTGATTTGCTGGCAGAAGGGACGGGAGAAACGCCCAGCCCGGCAGCCAAACGTTCAGACTGTGCGTATGAAATCCACAGATAAGCATCGCCGCCAATCACGAGGGCTCAAGTCCTCCCCACGCTTCCTTGACATCTCTAATTTGCTGGTTGTTATCTCTTGCATATCAATCATTCTTTGTTTAGGGACGGCTTGTTGATTTCATTTCTTGCAATTCTTCGCCAAAAATATCTTTAACAAGTATTTGTAGAGGTCAATCCTACTCACCGGTAGCATTTACTTGAGAGTTAAGAGGTAGATTGTTCGGCCAACGCTGTGGACCGGAGCGCTGACTAGACGGTGCCACTGGCTTATGTAGAGAAGCTTCTCTCAGCCCAGCAACTTGGTTGATTACTCGGAGACTACTCTAGTCGCGTCGACCTACTTTAGCACGAACTAACCATTTCCCAAAACTATCAGCACTAACATAGCGTCCGAGCTGGTCGCCGATAGTTTAGAGATTCAGGAACTTGTCTCTGGAATTCGGAATTTGATAAGGAGTGGAAACTCCTCTCCTGTACTGAATGATACGAGTATCGGACTCACCAATAATCGAGTTTCGCCGCGCAAATGGTCATCAGACAAGACGGCTTGGATGTCATTAATTTCTCGTCTCAACTTGGCCGATGGTGATTCATTGAATCTTCCGCTTTATCAGACGTTAATGATTCGATATCCGAATACCATGGGAACAGTGCTTCCAGATGTCTCTCTTCTCGAGTACTGAGTCTACAAGTACAGCACAAAGGAATACTCCAAAGTAGCTATGATCGTCACTTTCTCGGTCCCTTCCGATCGTGTGTCCAACCACGTTGTACACATTATTTTTGGAAGCCTTCGCTCGTGGGACAGAAGAAAGACCCCGCTTGATGCAACTCCGAACCCACACTCACCCTCACTCCACAAGGCTCACTTCCAGCGAGGCGGTTCACAGGCTGGAGGTGCGCCTTCCGATGTGGTCCGGTGGTGTGTTTCTCTTTGCATCACGCTATGCTTGTTGGTAATCATATCAAGTGCAATAATACGAACCGTGAAAAGTGGTGTGTGTGTGTTTGCTCGATGTTGGATTCTGATATTACGGGCGAGTGCTAACTATCCGGTCTAAACTTTTCCCGCTCCGGACCTTCCTTCCTCGACTCTGACACAAACTTCCTCGTCGTGCAGAACCCTTTCTTTCGCATACTCTGCACTGTACCTATTTACCCTCTGCGCGTCCATCTATTTATTCTTAGATCCCCCAGTCGATTCTTCATCCTTCCAACCTTCCAAAAAAGCATTCTCAAATCCAATTCTCGTTCTACTTCGCACCGCATTTCAGTGCGGAAACCTCCACCTTCATCACTTCCCACCCCACCATTTGTGGCGTATACACTTGGTCTCTCGAGCCACTCTTGATCAACAGAATGGAGCTGTCTTAGACCCGGGCGTAAGCCACCATCCTTCGTCAAAGATAAGAATGATCCGCTGCTGAGTCTCGCAACGACTCACGGGCCAAGACAAGAAATACTTGTGACCATTTGAATATGGTCCTCCGAACGGGCTCCATCTTCATATCTACGGCGCGGCAAACGGGCAGACAAATTCAATACTTGCCTTCAGTAGCAGCATCTTGAGAAGAGTTATCTTGCCGCTCTTCCGCACCAAGACTCTGAACACCGGTCAATGAGATTATCTGCATCTTCGCTATTCTCACGCCCAAAATCCCCAGGTGTGGCTGTCGATTCTACGAATGAACACTTCACTTTGTCTGCTCATATGCAGGATGAACAGGCTCAAATCAGCCCAGATGTAGTGGTACGGTCGCCAAGTCAACTCCAGCTCCTGTGGCACATCAAGCATTTTAACCAAACTGTCGGTCTGGTTGGATGTGTTCCAAGTCACGCTTTCGGTGAGGAGCGGTATTGTACAACTTCAGAAGTAGCCAAGTCACTCCTTCTCGAATCCTATTTGTGCTACCAATTTCTTATTACGAAGTCGGCCTCTCTTTGAGCCACTGAGCAAGTGCCGGCTACAACATGTCTCTCGAGGACACGAGACCTCCCGATTATGACTTCGAGTTGGAACTTAGAAGTGGTATCAAAATAGAACATCCCGCTGTACGGAGTACGCGTTTCAACAATCTCCTTTTTCGAGACCATCTCATGGGTTTGATTTACCCCACACACTCCCCCACGTCACCGTACCTCCCGCCTGTTCAGGCTGTCCTGCGGCTGAGACAAACTGAGCATCGTTCTTGAGACCTTCTCCTTGCACTTCTTCAAATCAACCTTATGGATCATAAGGGTAGCACGGAGTATGCAACAAAACTTTTCAACCATACAACCCCTCCCTGATGTCGACGTTGTACTATTGTATATTTATGCAAGCCACGTTTTCCTCTTCCTCACATGTACAACACTCAAAGGGGTGCGGCATACCATGAACAAGCATTCGGTATGGAAAGCTACCAGCCGTGAGACCTGAACCCCAGGCTGGCGGCAACCTGCTTCTTCGCAGTTATCTTACCGCTACCCCACGCAGCGGCATACGATGTTGAGCTTACAAAGATCAAACTGCCTTTTTGTCAACCGCAATAGGCATATTTTCTGCAGCCTCAATATGTTGTACGAGCCGTGGTTCTTGTTCAGGAGCCCTTTTCCAGTACTCAAGCAAGATCTCCTTCCTCATTAGGCACAGTGGTGCTATTTTGACCTCAAACTCCAGACAATTCTGCCACAGCATTGGTTGGGACGCAGCTTTTGCACGGTGAGGTCAAGTGATGCAGTTCTCGTATGTGGATTGCTTGTCTTGACGCTCACCTATTGCTTCTTCCCGTTGTTCCTGCATCTATCGTTCGGATAGTGTTTTCAGCCTTACTCAAATTGGGTGATGGAGAGGGAAGACTCCATGGAATATCCTTCATAGTCCCTTTTACTCTCCGTCTGGATATGATCTAGCGGCTTACTCTACCCTGTTCCTGAGACCTGTGCTAGGTTTTAAAGTCTATTGACTCCATCATTTATCTCGAAGGGAATTGCTTCATGGCAATAAACTGTAAGCTCGACCTCTCTAACCTGTTTGTGAGGCAAGTATATTCTGCTGTGTGACACGGATTCTTTATGGGTTATGGATTTTGCTCCACCGCGATACACTGGTCTAGTAGAATGCTCAAGTCGATGTCTCCGTATGGCTCTTAAGACAAACTCAAATGAACTAGCTGAGGAAATGGGATAATGCATGAGGCCGGAGCAAAACACCCTCAATCTTTCGTCGATATCACAAATTATGTCTATGAGAGTGATTACCCGAACAATCCACTTATTGTCCTACCAACACATACCACAACATTTCGAAATTTCAAACATCAAGCGCTTAGAGTATAATGTGGTCTTCATACGCTTAATTACCATAGGGTGAACAAGACCAGCCTCTTTTAAATAGTTGCAGGTTAGAAAGTGCTACATAAGACTATGCATGAAGAAGTAAGAGCGACACGCCATACTTCACTATAATTCTCATCTCCGCTGACGACTACACCGGAATACTTCTTGCCTTCAAGTTGTACAGATGTGGTATACATCGCTGTATCGCCACATCACTTCACATCATGTCGAGCACCCTATCCGTTCTGCTTTTCCCCCGTTTCCATCCACAACTCACTACTCAAACGATCTTAAAAAACAAAAACATACCTCAATACTTGCTTAATGCTCCTCACTACACTGTCACTTCAATGTATAATTCCTTCAGAGATCCAGATATTATATAACTCCACCCCCTCCTACTCGCGAAATCCGACCTGACATCTCGAGTTCTCCGCCCCGAGGGTATAACCCTGAACGGTACTACTATGCTATGAAGCAGGTGGGTTTTACACAAACATAGGGTATGGACAGATGATATATTACTTCCTAGATTTAATAACTGGTCAGTGAATATTTGAATCAATGTTGGATTAGTTTTCGTCATCACCTCTCTTTTCGGAGAGCTGCTATTTTACGAGGAAGGATGTCGATTCTAAAGTTCGCGTACATCGTAAGCATTTTATCATTCCTCAGATACTTCCTAAGATGTTCAAATGTATAAAAATTGTGAAGACCAAAGGCTTGTCTGTTTACATATACAGCCGCGCAACACAACTCGTAATATCACACTCTCTGCACGAAACTCACCAACTCCTGGCGATAAAGACAGTTGAAGCCAGATATAAAATATCATGATTGTAAATTGTAATAAGATTTATACATTACACTATCTACCTACCTACCAACTCTCTCGCTCACAACACCAACAACATATATCTTCTACCAAAATAGCCTCCTATATCTATCTTCCAAGTACACCTAAAACGCTCATCATCAAAACATAAACAACCCCTTTTGCACGCTCAATATATCACTTCTTCCTCATCCACCTTCCCATCCCCCGTTTCCTTTTTCTTGCCTCAAGATAACCTTTCCTCCCCTTTCCCTAGATAAAAAATTGCTCATACCAATCAGTATGGTTATGTTAATAGTACCGAATGCTAAATAGACCAAAAAACATCTCCCGCTAAATGACACACCCACTAAAAGAATAATCAAATACAACCGTCTCAAACGTCGCTCTCTCAAAAAGAATAACCAGCTTCCAAAAAATAATAACGTGGGTATCAAAAAAAAAAGCCAAAAAGCCGGCGCCCAGCACCACCAATACGCCTTGAAGAAATGAAAAAAGAACTGGACGTGGTAACGTATGTATGTATAATCGCGTCAGAACCCCCTCCGGCGCCGAGTCAAAAATAAGCCTCCATATAAGAATCGTGTAATGAACAAAAGAAAGTGGTATAAAGTATGTAGGTTGGAGTGCGTCAGACGGCGCCTTCTTGACCTTCAAGAACCCGTCTCGCAGCGTCTAATCTTCGTCTCCAGACGCGAGCTTCGTAGGTGCCGATTTCAGCTTCTTGCAGACCGAGGACGCACTTTCCGAGACTTGCCACAAGACGTTCTACAAGAATTTGGTCGTCTTTGGCGAGCATGTGGACGGGTGAGGTTTGGAGTCGTTCCTCGCCTTGTCGATCGACGAGGGTCATTGAGTCGCTTGTGAGTATGGAACCAGTTGATCCACCTGAGCCTCGAGATCCGGTGACTGTGGACGTGGGAAGTGGGATTTGCATTGCTGGTTTGTTGACTAGTGGGAAACTACGTGTTGAGCCGTTGGATGAGCAAGAGTCGAATGAGGATACTGATGGGCGATGGACTGTGGTTGGGGTACGTTCATCTTCCGACGATATCGCGTGAGGCTGCAAATCCAGCTTGGAGTCCCGTTGAGACTCTCGCTCGTCAGCTGAAGCTGGACTGTCATCGGGAAGCTCAAGGTCATTTGCATCTCCACCAAACGTGGATCTCTTCTTGTTCAGGGGCGAGCGCTCTCGAATTTCATGACTTGGAGTGATCTTGACATCTTGTACTGCAAATTCGTCTTGATCCCGTGGTGTTTGTGCAGCTAAGCTGTCTTCGTCTCCTGAGCTATGTTCTTCCTCAGCAGTCGCAAACGAATTCATCGTTGAGACCGAGGCATTGCTTCCGTTCCTGATATGTTTCAAGCTGGGTCTGTTGTATTCTGAATCCTGAACAATGGGCCCACGTGTAGTTTCTACAGAATCTTCGGAGCTGAAGCTTCCATTTCGACCTCTCATACCTTGTCCGATTGTACCCATGGCACTATGGAGGAAGAAATGCTCGTAATCAAATGCGTCCTCCCGGTCCTCATGGGATATTGGGATGTCGGTAGTATCGTGGTAGTTAGTGGAGTCGCTCTCATAATCATCAACTTCATCGACGCTAACAATCTCGTCATCATAATTCTCCTCCTCAATATTGTCTTCCTCAATACTGTCCTCGTTTTCAATAACCTTGGGCGATAAAATAGGAGACGAAACAGGAGATGGTTCTGTGTCGACTGGAGGATTATATGCGCGCTGTGGAACGCTAGAAAAGTGATGACCGTCTGGAATGTCCTCGTAGACGCTCGTCACGTCGGAATCCTCGTCTTCTGGCGCACCCTTCCTAATTTCGTGGGCGCTAGAAACCGTGTTTGGGCTCAACAGGCCGTCTAACTGACCACTAAGCTCTGGTTTCCAGGTTGGAGAAGTGCCAGCATCAGCGGTTAACGGATCGACTTTGTATCCCTTGTCACTAGAATACCATTGCTCGGCTGCTGTAAACGGGCTTGGAGTTCGGAGACTCTGTAGACTTCGGCGCTTCATTGTGTCGTCACGAGCGCGATCTCGAAGTACTGATAGTCTACCCTTCAAATCATGCATTTGATCTCGGAGATCACGCATTTGTGCTGTAGAAGCTGATCGTGACAACGTTCGATCCATCTCGCCATTGGGACTGATAAATCCATCCATACTTGAAGCAACGCTCCCTCTATCAAACTCGGGCATAATGTCGTCCTCGGTCAACGGCTCGAGTTTAGCGGATCGTGGTGGTGAGATCTTGCCTAACGGTGAAGGCAAAGGTCGCGAGACACCTTTGGCATCCTCTCGTAGACTCTCCGAACTATAAGCATAGCCTAGTCGTTTCTGCGTGTCTGTCGAGGTATTTGGTATATATCTAGCTGCGGCACTCGCTGAGCGAACAGGAAACCGGCCTTTTCCAACAGGAGATGATATCGAGTTCTCACTATACACTCTTGAGTGGCCGGGCGTACCAACAGGACTATCCAAAGGAGTGTGCAATTGTCTGTGAGTGGAAGGGCCATTGCCGAGTTGTGTCAGACCACGTCCGGGAGGAGAAGGAGTCGATCGAGATAAGGGACTGCTGCTATGAATTGAAGACATAGACTTTGATGGTGCAACAAAAAGGGATGTTCTGGCTCGAGTGAGGTTGCCCTCCATATTCTGGAATACATGTTAGTACTTGTATAATGAGGACTTCATGGCGGAGGGTAGTTTCCGTCCAACTCACATTTAGACGCTTCTTTGCATTTAGCAGAATATGTTCTGCCCTTCTACTCAAGGCTGCGCTCGAGTTCTGATCTTGGTCGTCCTCTTCGCCAATCACGCTGACTCTATTCGCCAGTCGTCTCGTTTCCTGCCCAATGACTTCTTCTCTATATGGATCTCTATATGATTCTGCCACACTTTCTTCGTCGTCGCCTTGGAAATTGCTGTCGTCTATGCTCACTCCGTCATCGAAATCTCTGAACATTTCGGCCTGGTGCCCCTCAGACCTAACCGTGCTGCTTGACTCAATCGAGACATTTCGCTGGTGGTTTCCCGTCTTCGCTCGCTTCATCACGGCTTCGTAACCGACCGTTGGGCTCGAACGTATTGGCAGATTGTTGGCTTGCGCTTGTTTTAACATTCTCCTTTCTGCCGGTCCAGGAAGCTTTCGTCCAGGAGTGCTCTCTGCCTCGGTCACTTCTCCGATATCTGAAAGCATTGTTCCATTCCCATATATGATTGGCGTCGTCGGTGTAGAGGTGCCCATCTGCGAAGGTCCCAACGAAAACTGCATATCATTGGAATCTCGCCATTCGTCAGGCGAATATGGGTGATGAGGGGGGGAAGGAGTCGTGTCATATTCTCCGTCGTAGGGAAGGATCATATCAGGATTTGTGAGCGTCGGCGAGGCGGGGTGGACAACGGGCAGTGCCATCGTGGTGGTACTCGTCTGCACCTGCATGCTGCCGTGAGGGCTGGTTAGAGAACAATTGTCGCAGTCTCAGGAGCCGCTGCAAGAGAAGGGTTATATGGCGATGCGGATTCCCGTCAATCAGCACGAATGCGCCGTCGAGGGTTAGCTCATGTATTGAGGAGGATCGCAAATAATAGTGTATGTTGCTAGAGATATTGAAATTAGGTATGCTCAGCGGCCGCGCTTCGCTGCAGGTGTAGTTCGAAATGATGGTGGATATCGCAGGAGATGTATATGAACAGCTCTCCGTGCAGACAAGCAAGGAGGTGATGGTGCTTAAGCTGGCGACAATTCCATGGCGATAATAATCGTGGTGGTGTGAGCTGGACTATCGTGGTGGATGTTCTATCAGATTACAAGCTTCCACGACGGATGACAGACAGATCTTCTTCCGCTTCCAGGTCAGATGCTCTCTCGCTCTCACAGACCTTTCCGATCAGGACGAGAAGATCACACTTCTTGTTGCTGGAAAAGAGAGTTTCTTGGATGAAATTACCTGGTTCGTGTTTCCCTGTTCTTATTGGTATTATTACTGTCACTTTTTGCGATATCGACAATCCCATCCAATTACCGCGTGGAACCCACTGCTCCACGAACGACGATTGCTTTTTACTGAACAATCAAGACCCTTGAACGCAGTAAAAAGCTCTTCCCAGCAAGAACAGCGCAAGCAGTTCCCACTCTGCGCCCACTTGGACCGCCAGGAGATTTTACAGTTGGCGGTTCGGAGATTCTCATAGGTCCAAGCGAGCAGCAGCGCCCTCAACGGCGCCCTGCACACTGCACAGAGGGATCTCCAGTGTGGACTGTGAGGTCCCAGGGTCGCATGGGCAATCTCAGGGGTAGCGAGATGTTGAATTCGGCAAGCCTCTGCATTATTTTCTCTGAACTTTCAACCATGAGTACTCCTGGTTGAACAAAGATTTGCAAAGTGCTTGCGTGGCTGACGCTATCGAAGTCTGGTACAGTCTCGTGGTGATACAGGAAGATGAAAAGGTTCCTGCATATGCATGAGAAGAAAAGTACTTGAAGCAGGAATGCGTGGGAACGCCAGGCATAACCTTCCTCCAGTTCCGCACGGCACATCTGCCAAATTACGTCGTGGACGTTGGTATCTACCGGCGGATCAATCGAGAATCTTTATGCGACAAGGTCCTCGGCCGTCATCAATCTGTAACAGAAGCAACTTCTTTTGGGAGGCACGTTTATGGGATGGAGGATCTCAATGTGATCGATCTCAGCGATATATCTTGAAGATCAAAACAAATACAACTGACAGAAATTCTACAGAATCGCGGTGTAGGGAAAAACTCAATCAACTCACCTGCTCCTCCTCATCTCGCAAATGCAAGCTGTGAGACTCGAGCTTCGTTACAGCTGCAAGTAAGCTCGTCTCCGAAATGTTAACTTCCTAGATCACGCAGCAAAGCACGAATAACTTTAAGACACGGTAGCCTTACTTCTCAAGTGACACGCGACGAACCGTTGACCTTCCCCGAAAGCTTCGATGCTTCCGTTGAGCCGTGAGAGTCCGAAGGAGCAAGAAACAAAATCTAGAAACATTGTTTCGTCAGGGATGTAAATCCGCCACAATGTTTCAATTCGAGCGTCATTCATCCATCAGTGAATCTGACCCAACTTTATTCGATTGAAGGCCAGCACAATTACTATCTAACAAAACGACAGTTAGGTTTCTTTTCGATACACTGGCTTGCACTGAAAACTTAATCGTACTCTATACAGTATCTATTAATCCCAGCTATTCAGGGTGCTGAAGGACAAGCTGAACCGAGGGGCTATGATAAACAGACATCTTAAGTCGTCCAGTAGCCGAACCTTCTTTCATTACCAAATTCTAGCAAAGCAGGCCAGGCGAGATTGCATGATAAATACTAAATAACATTTCTCACTTGGACCCAGAGAGTGGAAATGCCTTACTCGGTTCCTCATTGATACCTACCGAATTAGGTTACAGTCAGAAAAAAGCCCGAGAAAGCTGCAAAAGGAAGAACCGCATAAGTGGAAAACAGTCCTTTTCCTGGTTTCATTGTGTGTTTACCTCAGAAATAGTCAAGTTCAACCCTTGGTACAATACTTTCAAATACGACTTTCTAAGAATCCTTCCTTTCTTGAGGTATACTGAACCCTTTTAATGGTCAATAGTGTATATTCATCTAAACCAGTGAGTAAGCACAGAGTATCTAGCTGGATACCATTATTCTATCGTTAGGATGTATCCCGCCAGACCTGCAATACACTGGTAGTCCAATTGAAGCTATTGGGAACTACACACTCAACCACTCTCTTATAATGGTCATGGCGAGTGTCAATTCTGTCATATTTTTAAAGTATATTTAATCTCTTCGAAGTATTATAACTAAATCCTGTACAACACTCTTCTAAACCACAACCAAACCACATAATTTTCTACTCTATCTTCTTAGGCTGCCTAATCATATTCCTATTCCTCGCCTTCCCCTCACCCCCATACTTCGTCAAATCAATCTCAACCGTCCCCTTAACTTCAAACCCAAGTTTACTATACACAAACCATCCCTCATCCGTAGCATCCAAATACGTCTGTTTCCCCTCTTGATCCGCCATATCCAACACATGATTAATCAACATAGTAGCAAGACCTTTTCTCCGGTGTTCTTGAGAAACACCTATAAGACCGAGAACTACGCATCCATTAACATGGCAAATATATGATAAATAAGTAAGAAGGAAGTAAATACCATAAACATCCTCCCGATCCTCCACGAACCTCTCAAACGCCCTCCCAATCCCCCCAAACTTCTCCCTACAGCACTCATCATTCGCACCAACCGGCCAATCCGTATCCCGTCCCTCCCTCTCATCCCTCTTCTTCTTCTCCTCCTTATCACTTGCCCTCTTAGCTTTCTCCTCCTCACTAAGCCGATACGGGAAACTCCATCGCGCCAACGCGACTAGTTCGCCGTCTTTTTCGACTTTGAAATAGCGGGTTTCAGGCCGGTGGAAGAGCATGGTGAAGCGCGTGGTGAGCCAGCGGGTGAATTCCTCAGGAGCGATGCGAGAGCGTGGGAAAGTGTAGCTGCTTAGGGGGTCGTCGGTGAAGGCCGAGTGGTAGACGGGGAGCATGGCGGGGATGTCGGAGAGGTATGCGGGGGAGAGGGTGTATTCTGGTGGAGGTGCCATCTTGTTTGAGGGTGTTGTGTTGATTTGTATGATGTGTGAAGGGGTTTATGATTGAATTATGAGGAGGAAGTAAGAAGCTGAGATTTAAACTACCTGATCAAGTACTTATGTTCAATGGATCTCAAACTCAAAGCACGAGAAAGGATCTCCTTCTTATACTTAAACCTCCAGTATAGGCATTAACCACTTCCCTTTCGGCGAGACATTTTCGGAATAGGAGTTTACTTGTTGGTTACCTGTTCAGAGTATAAATCGACTATCCCAAGATTTCTCGGCGTCGGCGAGCCCAAAACAACAATGGGATTCGAGCGACGAATGCTAACGGAATTAAAAGTGGTACTGGTACAGTAGCTTTGCGGCGTTGGATGAAAGCCGGGAATTCGAGCCCAACTCCGAAAAAGTTACCATACTCGCTTACGGTGGAACAAGATTTGTGCCCCAGGTGGAATTGGGAAGGCTGCTCGGGATTATTATTATTTGTGAAGAGTGAAATGATTACTGTAAAGCAGCTGTTAGGCATACCAAATGACCTGTCTACTTGAACCTAAGAAATCGCGGTCTAGGAAAATTCATACAGGCAACTAGAAAGGTAGGTCAGAATTTCACCGGACGCTGAGTCCAATATAAAATTGTTCACAGTCCTCATAGACTACTGATTCTCAAATTGTCGATTACGAGTGTGACAGGTGGAAAAGTTTGCGTATAAAGGTGTGCGGTATCCTAGGTTGTCGCCATCGCTTTCGCCATAACCACAACCGGCTGTCATAAAGGCCATAGGGCAATTCACAGCTTTCAAGTGACCCATGAATTTTCGCTGACGTGTTTTAAAGCACTGGAAAGCACACATAAACCAAGATCGTATATTCCATCATCGTAGGATCTGACAGGGTATCGATTGCCTAACTCAGGAGATCTAATAGTGCTTTTGAATCCGCAAAGCTCCTGTCGAAAGCGTATCCGGATGTGAGACAGATGTGGTTTTGCAAGAAGTTCATTTAGATCATCTCGCTACCTGACATGCAAAGCAATCCCATATGCTCCCCCAAACATCATGTAAGTAGGAAAAGTCCCAAAGCCCGCTTATTCCTCGACCATGTTACCCTTCTCCGAAACGTACAGACCATCCAAGAACTGCGCGATTTGTTAGTATTCTGGGACCTTCTTAGAGTGTAGACTTTATCTGACCTTTCGAATATCCTTGTTTCGTACTCTGCAAATTTGCTGGATATCTGCCGCACTCTGTGACACGTTCTCGAGGGAGTTGCCGAACAATTGTAATTCATCCTTCTGGTTCTTTGATGGCTCAACCTCGACACCCTCGTGCATGACGACTCTTCGGACGATCTTCTCACCAATGAAATTTCTATGCACGCATAAGTCAGCCCCGGTTACTGCTTTCGTTTCCAATCTGCCTATAATCCAAGCCATAAACGAATTCCAATTCGACATACCGGATCTCGACCTCGTACAGACCGGTCTCACTGTTCTTCTCGACGTTTACGTTGATTGGGAAATGGGCGTAGACATATCGCATCTTGTACTTGAATCCCTTTGTGACACCAATGATCAAGTTGTTGATCAAAGTTCGGACTGTGCGGAGGGTAGCGACATTCTTGCGAGCACCGTGGTGCAACTCGATGTTGATGATTTCCTTCTTTGGGTGGGAGAAGTTGACAGCCAAATGACTGAGATCCTTTGTGAGCGTGCCTATCCAGTCGTCAGTCCACCACTCTTCCAACCCTTCTCCAATTCGTTCCGTACCTCTTGGGCCCTCAACGGTGACCTTTCTCGACTTGATGGTGACCTTGACTATTATGCTGATCAGTACGGTACAATTATACAACATGCGCCTGCCATTTCTGCAGCGATGCGGCATTGCGAGCTGCTTCTGGGGTGTAAATAATATAGCACTTACCCCCTTCCGGTACGGTCAAAGTCTCGTTGGAATGAATGTACTTCATTTTGACCTTTTACCTTGTCGTCGTCGAATTGCGGAGGGCTTTCAGAAATTTGAGATCGCGAAATTCGATATTCAAGTCGTGGTTTGTGGGCTTTAGCGAAAAAACGCTAATCCACATTAGTTTCCAGGTTGGCCCCGACGACACCGATGCTGAGTCATCATAATCTTGGCACCCGACCCGACGCTTCGAAACCCATCACAGATCATTGGCGTTTTATACGACAATCTTCACATTCTCAACGAATTGCATATGACGTTGTATACGAGGAGGTTGCTGGCGAAGTTTCGACAACAAAGCCGGAAAAAATTGAATAATATTGAGCTTTGAAATCATGTTCTCAACCACCGGGAGAAGGAGGACTACGATACATGTTGAAACGGTGCTCTGGGGAAATCTTTGAACTGAGGACTTTATTCATATATGCTTTTCTCGTTCAAAAACACTGGCTAATGCTATTCGGGCTTTTGGCCGTCGCTCAACTCCGCAAATGCGAGGATTCCATTCGTCCCAACGCGCCGCTTAGACGTTTCTTTCAGCATAACTCTTGATCATCCCTTCCAGAGATGGCTCATATTCCACCAGAGACACTTTACCCGTAGATTCATCAAGAACTGTGCTTGCCTGGACAAAAACTTTCCTCGGTTGTTTGTTTCGCAAAACCTCATTTCTGATCTTCTCGCCCCAGAATTTTGGTTCAACTTCCGTCATCTGGTTGTAGAACTTCGTGCCAGTCTCCTTGTCGGCTGTGGACTTGTACACATGCAGCTTTTGGAGGTAAGCTTCGACTGCTTTCCTACCAGAGCTCAGGATCTTGCTACGGTCGATCTTGATAGTCAGATCGGATAGATCCTCATTTTTGTAATCCAGCTTGCAAAATTCCTCCTCTGATTCAAGAAAGCACTTGAGGATACTGAATCGTGCTTGCGAATGTGCCTGTCCCCACTTACGACTCTTAGGATCCCACATTTCCAAAGATGCAATGCCTGCTCGAGCCATAGACAGATACGCAGCATACAAGACATCCCCGGCTTCGTTATCCATATCAGTCTTCCCATCACCAAATCCGAATATTTTGAGAATTTCAAAGTCACAACTCAGGGCCATAGCAACACACTCGGCACGGCACTCTTCATAACTCGACGCAATACTTCCAAACACTGATCCCCATGTTTCTCCAGTCTTATACCATGTCGATACTGGTTTGTTATCAATCGGACTAATTGGTGGGTTCTTTACGTCGAAGTTGAAAACTCCAGGGGATGTCTCTTGGAGCAATTTGCCCGTTCCGTGCCCAAGGAGCTCGTGAATGCCGACTTGGACCTCGAAAGCCTGGGAATGGGTTTTAGCTTGGGTTCAATATGAGCAATGGCTAATTGTTAATGGCACTTACTGGATCCCGGTATTTTTGATAGATAGCAAGATCTGCTTCTGAAATAAAGGGGATTTTCTCGTTTGGTGCTTTGGCACTTAGTACATTACCAAGGGAAACATTTTTGAAACCCTCCGACTGTCTAATGTCATCGTAGTTGGGCTATTTACCTGGTTAGTATTGAAGCCATAGTATATGGAAGTAGAGAGTGTCAAGACTCACAATATTGATACCTGCCGGGATTCCTGAACCAGCAAAGGAAAGAACTTCGAGACTCGTAAAATCTGGGCTTAGAAACTTGTCCTTTTCGAAATCGGTGGACCACGGGAGCTTAGGAATCATGGATTCAGCTGCATCAACCAAAGCTCCGAATGCTCGTGTACGCTCTAAATTGACAGTAGCCGCAAATCCTAGCAGAAGTTAATACCCGACTCAACCGAAAGCGCAAGAGACATTATACCTTCCCACTCGCCTCTAACACCATGAGGATCACGGTAAGTCTCTACAAACCCGATATTAGATTCGACCATTGGGCCTTTGTCACGAATCCAGTACCTCTGGCTGTCTTTGAAGGCCTCCAGAGAGCCTTCTTCGAATGACTTGGCGTATGCCAGTTGCATGTTCTTCTGATTGTCATTTGCGGAGTTCTCAGCAGCCTTTTTATGATAACCAGCAATCAAGCCTAGCTCTTTGGAGTGGTCTCCATACACAAGTTTGATCTTGCCACCACTGAAATCGAATTCTGTTTCTTTACCAATATCGCCGCCACCTGCTGGAACCTCGGTGACAGCTGACGCTATCAGAAGATCAAAGTCACGATCAGATTTCTTTCTCAGTCTAGTGTTTTCCTAACATCGTCAATTACTCGCTCCACCAAACAGAGACAAGGGGATCTTACCACAAGAAGTCCTTTCTCTGCCATCCAGTCGGACACAGCGGCAATCTCTGCTTTGGTAATGCCCTTTGAGTCTGGATAATACGTGGTCATACTAGACCATGGCATTAGAATCACACTCGAGCCAAGTCAAACAATCAAGAACTCGGTGTAGTCATAACTTACTGGTTCTCGTCAAGATAGCCCAGATGCATGATTCCATCATTATCACTGGAGAATATTGCACCTTTCGTGGCTTTGTAATGTTCATTCGCCTTGGAAGAAGTGGCCGCTAGATCGTCGAAAACCTTCTCTGCACATCGAGGGACGAATTTGGAGTCCCCGAATCCCTTGTAGTTGCCGCAATTCCCCAAAAATTGTGTAGCGTACTCCAGGAAGTATTTGAGGTCTTCATCACTGACACCAGCTTTCGATTGGATGGCTTTCCAATCTCCATTTGTACTCTTGTAGAGCTCGATAATGAAGTCGAATATGCTTTCACTCTCAGGAGATACCTGACGAAGAGTGATTCTTGTTCCTGTGAAAGCACCCCTACCAGATATTAGCATCTTGTTGACTGCCTGAAACTGGTGTGGAAACCATGACATGCAGCTGCATCAATCACAAGTCTGGATAGCAGATCCGATGTGACATTTAATAACCTCCATTTTCAGATCCTATAATAGCTGAAAAGCCTCTACAGTTCTCTTTCTTGGTCAAGAAGGATCTTTGTGTTTGATTCTACGGTTTCGACAATGTTCCCACTTTCAACTCTAGCTGGAATGTAAGATCTTTGTACGTACCTGCTAATAAAGTGAGCATAACGTGCTTGTTGGTCTGTCAAGGCATCGAAATGGGGCTTGATGACTAGGTTTACAGTACTTGGCGGGGAACTACAGAGGGGTTAGTCTAGTACGGAGTTATAGATTGAAGCTGAAGATGACTGACTCCGCAAGGAAATTCTTGAGCTCCTGGGTATTCATTGTGAGATGTCTTTGAATAGTTGAAAGACGATTGAAAGTAATGGACGCCTTGAGCATAACACGGCTGACTTGGAGGGGAAGAGGGACAGCAGAATATGCTGCAGTGTAAAGGGTATGTTCACCTGTGGTGTCACTTCTTAGCGCAAGGCTGAGGCGGGGTCTTGCTGCAGCATTGATGGCCATCCAATTGGAAGAGAAGGACCCGAAGCATCTTTGACCTGTCTTTGTAGCAAATATTGTCATTACTGATTTGTTTGCGTTATTATTATTGAAGATTTAAGCGCATATACGCAGAGTAAGGTACGCGTTTCGCGCTATCCTTGAAGCAAGGATCCGCAACGCCCCTAAAATACTTACCCTGGACGAAATCAGTCAAGCCATTCGTAATGATCGAGGTGCTCCTATTCTACACCCCAGTACTGACTAGAAATCTAGCGAGAAATTGTATCTGATATTGAATCAGTTAGTTTAAAAAGAGCTAGGTGACAGGGCTGAATGAGATTGGCTAAAATGGAATGCCATCCGGCATGTGTGGTGGTAGTGCTCAAAGAATTTCATAGGAACGTTTCAAAGTTACCGTCTTATACGGGCTATTGACTGGAATCATTTATCATGTTTAGTAAGGTACGGACAGGTGATTTAAGCCTGACATGAGAAAAGAAGATACCTGACCATTTTCATACTGAGAAAGGGAAAGTACAAAGTGACTGTTTATGCTTGGCCATAATAGGACATGATCGGTCTTCTTTTCAGAGGAATGAACTTTCGGTGCTGGTCCAGTGAGGAGACAATAAAACTAAAATCGCTGTTGATAGTCTTGACGATGGTGTTTCCTCCTAGTTTTAAATTAATGTGCTCTTCCCACAATTTCATTAGAGCTCTTCGTAAAGTCCAAACATGATCTGGTGGACTTCCTGGGTATAATCTCATTCATTAGTTCTCATGAACTTTTGTTTTCACATCCATATCAACAGCCAATTGGTTTGCTTTTTGAGGTGTTCGTAATTGCAAATCTGATTACAAAGCGCCGTAGCAGTCGTGACCGATGCCCTCAAAGGTCAAAAAATGCTAAATGTTCCCCATCCACATCTACTCCCGAAACCCCCAGCCCAATTTACCAGACCATCTCGTGTGGCCTATCACCTTTTCGGAGGCTGAAAGTGCTGCTGAGGTAAGAGATGAGAAATGGTTCCTTCTTGATGGTTGCGAGGAGAGCCTTATCAACGGCCTTTTGGTCTGCGGCGCGGCTGCTGGATGGCTTCTTCTTCTATTGCTTTGTTAGACTTCTGTTCCTTCTCGCACCCTTCTCGTCAAGATTTCCTTACCTCTGGCTTCTCTCCTTGCTTGAAGAATGCCTCCTCTCCCTTCTTCTTCTCGGCCTTGTCTGCGGTGAAGTATCCCTCAGCTGAAACTTCCTCGATCTTCTTTGAGTCAAGTCCAGCCAAATCAATCTTGTAGGATGTAGCGATGACGTAACGAGCGTTAACTCTTCGGAGAGGAACACCGTTAACCTTGAAAGGACCAGTAACGAGGAGGACACCTTGTGGGAGGTTGCTTAGGAGGACAACGCGCTTGCCACGGAAACGACCGGCGAGGAGGATAAGGACAGCACCAGGTGTGAGAGTTGAGCGAGGAGCGGATGTGCGAATTGACTTTCGGACCTGATTTCTAACGTTAGCGATAATTCCAATGTATATCCAATTGCATTTCTGTGTATGATAGAGCTCCTCGGGAGATTGTAGAATAATATTCCACCTGCGGTCGGTAATAGCCCAAATTTGTCACCAATTGCGCATTCGAACCACCACAGTCGCAGACACCTGGGACCTTTCCCATTCTCATCATACTCCATATGAAATAATTCTTAACCCACCTTCTTGTGTTGGGCCTCATCCTCAGCAGGGTACCATTTCGACGCCTTCTGGGAGTGGTGAGGGACCTCTCTCGTGGATTTGCCAAAGGTCTTCTTTTGGTTGGCTGTTGCTTCCAGAGTTGCCGACATCTTGACGAAAGAACCGTTCGGTGTTGTTGTCGGTTCGTTGATTTGGGTCGTTGGGCGTGTAAATCTTGAAGTTGACGAGGTCGTTCTCTTCGCGAACTCAATGTAGGGTGCTCTGCCCTGAAAGCCACGCAAAAATATTTGAAAATTATGTGATTGGCTTGATAAAGTAAGTGGGTCAGAGCTTCGAATATTTGTGGCCTTAAACTCAAGGCACTCATCATCATCATCCTCTAGACCCGAAATAGACTAAATCGGAGCTCCAGCTATTCGCGGACCGCTGCCGCCTCGCGACTTTCAATGTAAGGCAGCCCGGATGTGTTGACTTTACTAATTGTAAACGCTTTCCATACCATCAAAACCCATACAAAAGTCACAATGTCCATCACACCTATAATTACTTTCAAAGCTGGGAAGTGCGAGCTTGATGTCAGTTTCTCGTATTCTTAGAAGCTATAAATACTGAGCTTCAGCAGACTTCTAGCAAACCATACAAAGTTACACCCGATCCAACACCTGGTTATATCTACCTATACGAAGATGATGGTATGACTGGCATCGATATCCTCCAGAATTCGCTAAACAGATCTAGATTTATATCACTTCTGCTGGCGCGAGCGAAGTAAGCCTATGATGCACGAAGACAACATCGACCTTGCGATGTTCCCAACAGACGGAAGCTTCGTACCTTACGAGTACACCACGAAAGACCAGCCGACATCAAAGACAAATGGCCGCATTTATGTCCTCAAATTCGCGTCTTCCTCTCAGAGATATCTGTTTTGGTTACAATCGAAACCACAGTCCCGGGATGGGGATGCCAGTTGGTTTAGCCCACGCGACATCAAGATTGGCACCATCGTAGACAATTTATTGCAGGGTGAGGAAATTAACGTTCCCGAAGCGATTGCGAATCTCGGTAGTGGTGGTGGGGACAATAACGATGATGATGAGACGATGGAGGATATTGAAGGTCATGGGGACCGCTCTACAGAGCATCAAGGAAGCGGCGGTGGGGCAGGTCCAGGGGCTACAGGAGGAGATGTTAGAGAAGAAGGTTCTAATGCAAGAGATGGTGGAGCTGATGGAGGACGAGCGTAGGTCAATTTCATCGCATCGTAGCATTTTAAGGGCATATAAGATCCTGGCGTTTGGCCGAGGGGGAGGCGAACAGAAGCCTGCATGTACTCATAGTCTGACATGGCGCAATGAAAATTGGAATTCCTGGAGCGTTTACAATTATTTTTCTGAATTGGTGCTGACTTATGCTTCAGAGCCGGATCTGGGCCAACAGATGCAGCCACAGTGGTACAGAATTTCCTCAACTCGCTGAAAGGTGGCCAAGGGGGTATGTCGCAGCAGCAACAGGGGGAGGGAAAGAGGTTTACAACATTGGTTGACCTTCTCCCTTCTTCAACAACAATACCAGTTGTTGACTCATTTACGACAAGTCAAATCGATAACCTCCTCAGCTATTTGCCGCCAGCAATACTCATGCTATCTCAACAGTCGGCAGCATCGCTAGATGGGATGGCTGAGCCCAATAACGAGTCGACAAGTGCAGCAATTGAGGCGCTCAGTCTTGATCAAAAGAAGACGATCTTAAAACGAGTCTTAAGGAGCCCGCAATTTCACCAGAGTCTCGGTAGTCTTACGATGGCTATCAGAGATGGTGGCTTGCCTAGTATTGCGGAAGCTTTAGGTATACAAGTTCAAAACGGTGGACTTGTCCGAGGTGGTAGCGTACCACTTGGTGGGGGTGATGCGGTCGAGGCGTTTGTGGATGGAGTCAGGAAAAGCGTGGAGCAGAGCCAGTAATTTGTCTTCGAGGACGCTTACTGGCGAACAGCTCGAGGGGCTGTATCTATGACTTCGAGAAGCCAGGCGAGGCATGTATGAACAGTGTTACCCGGAGAGCTTCGAGAATGCTTTAATCGAAGTCCCAAACAAAAATAGATCTCCGTGTTTATAGACTTATGACATTATGGATATGACAATTCTGAACATGCGCAAAGCCACAGTGCGTAAAGCAAAGGGTGAACCTGCAAAAGACAATGGGAACGGCACTCAACCCCTGAACAATGACCTCGCTAAACGAGTGCAGTTTGCAACACCACATCCATCACTCACAAATGAAATGACCTCGATCAAACACACTCCAGAAAATGCTAATCAATCTACTAAGCTACAATTCACCATGTTTCATCCGATTACTCCTACCGTCACATGATTGGTCGTGCAGCCTCCTGCCAAGCCATCCTTTCCTATTGTCCTTTCACCTCAATAGCAAGCACTAGCGCGCTTTCATCCTATTGACAAAAGGAAGACAATAGCAATGATGAAGCACAATCAATTCCACACCCCAACGCGGTGCCACGTCTCTTCACCTTCGTATTCTTGAGGTGTCAACATTAGAAGTTTCTTATTCTTCTTCTCAATACCAACGTGTGCTGGAGGCGCATTGTTGCGGAACTCACTATTTGAGAGGTGGATATTCACATTTCTCTTTCCTCTGAAGAAGGTTAAGAGAGGAAGGGAATCCGGTTTTGAGGTTGGTTGAAAGATCGTATTTTATAAGGACGTGTCTGATATCGATTTCAAGCTTCAATACACCTCATCACTCACCACTCGAGCATATCTATCTCACTCACTCAACACCACCACACACAACCCTCATCAAAATATGAGCGCCCCCGTCAACCCAGTCCTGCAAAATCTAGCAACAGGCTATCATCTAGGCCAACAACTCTTCACCCCACCACACACCATGTCGCGCCCCCTCACCACATCCGTCGTCCACAACGACGATAATTCCGCTTCTGATTCGTCCTCCGAGCATGAACCCTCACCCCCAGCGAACGAGCTCTCCGAGATCCACCTGCGCATCAACACGCCGCTCACCATCCAAGGCAACAACAACACCGTGAGCATCGACACCGCCATGAACGCGAACAAGATCCAGCTTGGCGTCGTGAACGCGCTCAGGCAAATGACGAGCGCGGCCATGGGCGTGCCGATGATTGATGAGGATGGACGGCCGAGGCCGATTAAGATTAGTGTGAATGCGGAGATTAGGGTCGTGGGGACGGGGAATGTGGTGGGTGATAAGGCGATTGACGCAAAGAATGGTGGGGAGGGAGAAGGGAAGGGTGAGAAGGTGAATGGGGAGATGGAGAAGGGGAAGGAGAAGGAGACGGCCAAGAGAGCGAGAGATGGAGATGAGGCGTCGGAGATGGTGTCGAAGAGAGTGAAGCGGGAGGATTGAGGAGTTGGTGGTTGCTTAAAATAATAATTGTGTTGAGTTTCAGGGTCTTTTGATTTGGCGTTCGAAGGGTAGGCTCAAGAAGAGCTAGCACAGAGCATCGATACGAGATAGACTGCGTGTAGTATTCTGCATAGACAGATTATTATATCTATAATACAGGTCATGATCAATTAGTGAT